TCACACTTTGGCCCTTACTGGGGCTCAAATGATCTTAAATGATTATCATCTGTCAACACTACAAGACTTCCCTAAAATGAGGTCCATGTGTGATTTATCTGTTATCTCTCCTCTGCATATTTTACTCACATCTATCTCACAGGGTTCTGGTGACGATCCAAAGAAATAATATATACAGAATGTTTTGCAAACCTTAAATGTTATATTAATGGCTCTTATTATTATCATCATAAAATGTAATAATACTAAGTGTTTATTTAGAAGGAAGGTAGGAGGGAAGGAAGGAAGAAATGAGGAAAAGAGGGAAGGAAGGAAGGAGGGAAAGAAGGAGAGAAGGAAGGAGAAAAGGAGGGAGGGAAGGAAGAAAAAAGGGAGGGAAGTGTAGGAAATATGTTTGGGAATGTTGCTTCAGCATATCACTCATCAGGGTGATGAGTAGCTGCCAGGGTATTGACAGCTGTAGGCTGCTGACAAGGAAAGGTGGGGAATGGGAGATGTAATTAGGGGCAGAGACTCACATGGGGAAATTAGGTGCTCTGGTTAGGCTAGAAACCTTGTATTACCTAGACAATGAGGAAACAGGGAAGGGAACTTTGATTCGGGCCTAGGAATAAAAAGCTTTGCTCTCCCTTCTGTAAGGTGTGCCCATACATGGGATGCTTGGCCTTGCTAAGCTGTTAACAAAAAGGTTTTCTGGTTCACCAATAGCTTCTTGGAACTTTTATTGCTAACAATTGGGGGATCGTCTGGAAAAGACACCCCATTGATCTCAATGGTCCCATGAATCCTCTTTGGGCATCCCAGCTCATGGACTGTTAATGAGTGAAGCCATTGCTGAACCAGGAACAAAAAGGGGAATGGGAAAGTAGGCATGAGACAACTGTGCGACTACTAAGTATTGCCTTTGAGACTGAGACCAAGATAAGAAACTATTAAGCACTATCTTGGTGGCTCATATTATGGGGGTCCGGAGACTAAGTCTCGGACAAATAAGTAATATGGGGAATAAGAATTTAAAGGCACCAGGGAAACTAGAGGAAATAAGGTGACCCCTACGGACATTCCTTCAGATGGTCCCTTAGGGAGGATGCTGAAATACTGGGAAGATATAATAGAAAGATAATAAAAAGATGGCAGCTGATATCAGTTAACTAAAGAAAGCTACGTTGGCCAAGATGGGGTTCTTTTAACTGGTCAAGGTTACTTTATCTTAAAAACAAACTAAGCCTAAAAAGCCAACAAGAAAATCAGTTTCATGCGCACTTTGTCTTGTCAAGCTGTTTCTGACCCTGTGTGTGTTGGTAAAATGTTTAATGTTTGTGGTGAAAGATTTAAAATGGAGGTCTGTCATTAGAGAGAACATTGGGAAAGAACTTCCACCTTAGGCTTCCAATAGGAGATTTTGGGTTCCAACACTGGCCAAGTTGGGATTCCAGAATAAAGTTAGACAATGAGTAATAGAATAAAAAAAAGCAGAGAAAGACTCTCTCAGAAGTTAGTGGAAGGTGCAGCAAACTGCCTTTACTGATAAGCATCTAGAGCATACAGCCTAAGACAGGAAGGGCTAAGAAAAGGAAAAGCTAAGGGTCTGAATCATCTCAAAGCTAGAGTTTGTACTTTATGTTTGAGTTAAATTTAGAGAATCGTTTTTGCACCCCTCCTGCCTAGATATCTGATATCACTGCAATGTGTTTAAAACTGTAAAAAATAATTTTTTTTATAAAAGCTGTTTGTGAAGGGTATGAGGGAAATACAGCTCTTTTGATTTGTAAATTGTTAGGAGTTAACTCCCTCCAGATTCCAAGAGGTTCAATTAATTACTGGAACTCTAGAGGTTTTCTACCAGGGGGAAATTGACCCTACCCTGTCAGCATTGATTACAAGTGATTTTAAGCTGTTTGTAAAACTTATATGTTCATAAAAACTTATATGGGAGCCTAAAACTCCCAGGAGAATGAAATGCTTAGGGTAGTTTTTATCTGATAAGCCCCAAAAAGGAGACTTCGGCTCTCTTAAGGAAGTTATTCAGAGCCAGGAATTGTCACCATGTGTCTTTTTTTAAGGAAATATATGAATTTGTGGGAGAATATTTCCTTTTAAAGGGGCAAAAGTACTGGATTAAAAAATGTTTTTAGATGTTTATCATTACCAGATTTGCTTTGCTTTAAGTTTGTTTACAGATTCAGAGAAAAAGAAAAATGAATGGGTTAATGTTGAGGTTAGAGTTGGGAGAGTTGGTTCAGATGTGAAAGAATTCACTTAGACAATTTTGTCTTAATCAATGGGAGCTTTATTTCGTGAAAGCTTCACTGGTCTCCTTAGTTAGAAAACTAAGAGAGACCCTGATATGTGGGGGAGTTATGCTTATACAGAAGTTTCAAAAGGATGATGTAGTTTTAGAAGTTTTTATGGGGGTTAAAGATTAGAGACAGGTCAAGGAAGGATTTTAACAGAGTAAGGTGGGATTTCACAAAGTACTGGAAAAGCAAAGTTAATATTCTCTTAACCCCTAGGGGCACTGTATGTCTTTAGCATCATTTAAAAGCTGTTAGGTCATTCTATCTGACCATGTGTTGTAATGTTTTGAAGTACTGTAGATAAGAAATCATAAACTTCCAAGTTTTGTCTATATTTAAAGGGAAGTTTCAGCTAAAATTATTTGGTTAACTAAGTTATTTGAAGTTACTGTTTAAATCAAGTATTTGTAAAAGTATTTTTGTGAAAGGAAACTTGATAATTGTGCAAGAAAGGACTGTAAAATCTTGTAATTAATTTAGTTTGTTATAGTAACAGGATAAATTGTAAACTGTTTTTAAGAAAGATACTTTTATGAAGAAATGTTTTGCAAAATCTTTTGTGTGATTTTTTTAGAAGGCCTACTAAATTTTCATTTGCAAGAATTTCGAGTTTGTTTTCCTAGGTTTGTTGTGTCCTTGGACTGGCCTTAATGGGTGCTTTCTGAGAAAGAGTCAGAAGTTCAATGGCAGCAGCATCACATGTATTAATACTAAAGCAATTACTGTAATGAGTTGTAAGTGGGGAAGATCTCGCTAGTTTGATCAGATTAAGTATGGTTAGAGAAGGATAAATAAGCTTGAGAAACAGATGCAAATCTATTAGAGTAGATGTCGCTTGATCAGGAACTAGAACACGTGTAGGAATACATGTAAACTACTTGGGGCTCACTTCAGAGATGTTCCCTAACTAATGTGAGATTATAGGCACACCTGAAACCCTGGTGATGGGAATTTGCTATCCAAGATCTTAGGGGCTGTTAATGGATTATCATTCTGAGTCTTAACTCCAGGGATGGTTATCAAGGAACTGACTGAGCTATTGACTTATGATGCCAGCAACCCTGTGGGGTGTCTATGAGCTACATCCATGAACTGCAGAGGGTGTTCTCATGGAAAGGTGGGGAGAATGACTATTCTGCATGAGCTGAGGTAGGATTTTCTTGACTCAATTTCCCCACTATGACACCTGGCAGACTCTAAACCTGGCTCAATGCAGTTGGCTATTACATAACTTCTGCCTGGGATTGACATGAAGTTACAGAAACATTGTTCCCTTTAGTTATGTCCCTATTCTTTCATGGCAGATTTCTATAATTTTTTTAAAGTCAAATTGATTCAGGAATATCTAAGGTTATTTATAGTAAGATGCAAATATAAGTGAGTTATTTGGCCTAGAATTTTAGATAAGTTATCATTCTTTAATTCCTCATAATGGTATGGAGATAATTACGCCAAGGGCTTGTGAAACCAGGATATTATTTTGTTACTTAGTTAATATTTTACCTGTCTCATTTTGTTATGATTAGTTAATGTTAAAAGAAGAATGGCTTGTGGTCTATCTTGTAAATGCCTTAAAAGTAGCATCCATTTTAATTAAGGGTTATTTATTTGTACATGACCAGAAGTTGGAATTGTTTTATTCTGTTATTAATTTCTTAGTGGAATCTCATCCTCCTGATGGGGAAAATGTATAAGATTGTAAACATGATAATTGGCCAAGGTTCCAATTTTGATCTTATAATAATAGAGACACAAGGGCAAGGTAATTTAAAATTGTATTAAGATCAATCTTGCAGGAGAGTGGACAAAAGAAAGAGGATCTCCACAAGAGAATAGTCTGTGGGACACTGCTTGAACAGCACTTAGACCAGAAAACTTCATTGGATGATGTCCAGAACACCAACCAGACAGCTGCATGAGAGCTGCATAAATGGACTATTTATTGTTACCCCCCCCCCGTTTGTCAACGCTTCTGTCAAATTTTCCCTCCCTTCTCTCATATTTTTATAAGTCCCCAAAACCCCTGGATGAAATGTTGCCCAACAACACAGCCACGGATGGAATGGGATGGTTAGAACCATGGTTTGGCAAGTGGAAGGGAATGGCAGGCTATCTTGATCAGATGAAGAGACTGAGGTGAACCCTAATATGACAAGAAAAGCAAAATAGTGTTATCAAAACTAGAAGCTTATAACTTAATGAATTAAGATGCAGGTGCAACAGAGTAAATAAAAGGCAAAGGGGGGATTGTGGGAAAGGTGGCTGGGAACGTTGCTTCTGCATATCACACTCATCAGGGTGATGAGTAGCTGCTGGGGTATTGAGGGCCCAGGAGCTGTTGACATGGAAATCTCATTAGGGAGATGTAAGTCGGGGCAGAGACTCACGTGGGAAAATCAGGAGCTCTGGATAGGCTGTAAGCCCTGTATTACCCAGCCAATGGGGAAACCGGGAAGGGAACTGCGACTGGGGCCTAGGAATAAAAAGTTTTGCTCTCCCTTCTGTAAGGTGTGCCCATACGAGGGGCACTCAAGGCCGTCAACAAAGTTTTTCCGGTTCATCAATAGCTTCTTGGAATTTTTGTTACTAAAAAGAGGAAGGGAGGAGAGGTGCTGCCCCTCCCAGGGGCTGATCGGGCCGCTCCTGGGGCTCAAGCCGCGGCCTCTCCCGGGCAGGCCGGCCTGTGGCCAGGAGGGCACTCACCCTGGTCTGGGAACATGAGTGGGTCGTCGTGGTCGTCCTCCTCCTCTTTCTCCTGCTTCTCTTTCTCCTGGTCGTCCTCCTCCCGGAGGTCTTGGGAGGCCGAGAAGCTCATAGGGGGGGTGAAGTAGGTTAAGGGGAGCTGCCGCGGCATGGGGACGAGGCTGACAACGCGCGGCGGGGGGTCGCTCTGGGAGCCGGAAGAGAGCGGAGGCCCGGGGCTCCCGACCTTGTGGCGTGTCCCTCTCGGGCTCCCTCGGAACGACGGCCCCTCGTTGCTGTCGTTGTTCTTGTCCTCGAGGTTCTCGAGCCTCGCCGACCCGTCTTCCGTGGTGCGGCTCGGGGCCGGCCCGTGGGCTCTGCCCGCCTCGTCCGGGCTGTGCAAAGACGGGCGCTTCGTCGAGTGGCCGTGCACGCGGTGCCCTCCCTTGGAGGGGCGGGGCTCCTCCTCCTCCGAGGCCTGGCCCTTGGTCAGGAGGCGATCGGCCAACTTGAGCAGGTGCTGGGCCTTGAGCCGGTACTCGCTGCTCTTGCTCAGCGGCTTGGGGGGGGGGCCCGCGCCTTTCTCGAGCAGCTCGAGGTCGGACTGGCTCAGCTTCACGTGGTACAGGGAGCTGCCGGGCGGGCGGTCCCGAGTCTTTTCCACGGCCGAGTCGTTCTCCTCCCTCGGCCTCGTCCTCACAATCTGGTCCTTATTCTCGTAGTCCTGGAGCACCTGGAAGAGGGTCTCCTTGCCCACAATCTGGAAGTCGTCTAGGGAGAAATCCACCGATTCCTCATCAGAGGAACTGCTGTCCGGTACCAGGTGGCCCTTCACCTTCAAGGCCTCGGGCAACTGCTGGTCGGGCCTTAGGGGCGTCAGCCAGTACTGCCGCCCTGTCTTATCGCTGGGGCCTTCTCTGGGATTCATGGCGACCTTTCCTAAAGCGTTTCTTTCTCCTTTCTTCAGTAAAGGCCTCGCTGGCTTGCCCTCGTCCCTTTGGTCTTCTCAGTCTCCGACAAAAGGAAGCCTGGTTACTGAGAGTAACACTTTGCCAATTCCTGTCCCTAGGCCCCAAGCTTTGACCTCGATTCCTTTTCCTTTCCTTCCTTCATAGCGCCACAAAGGGGCGCTAGAGCGTCGCCAGGTTAGGATGGCCCACAGTGTGCTCTATGATTCTAAAAGGTTACGGCTCGGTCGAGGTAGGGCTCAGATCATTGGTCGGAGCCAGCTCCCTTAATTTACATAAGAGAAAACAGGCCGGGAGAGTTTGTGGCTTGCCTGGGACCATAGCACGCGCTTGGTGGCAGGCGCCCCTAACTGTTCATCTCTCCCGGGGATGGATTTGATTGTTTTAGCGCCTGCTCTAGAAGGTTGAGGTGACAACGATAACTCACAATTCGAGAACGAGAATAGAAGCTGCCACCCACGGGGGCGCAAGATGTAGAATGAGATGAACGCTTTTGGACGTGAGCAGCGTGGAAATTTGCTAGAAGGACTCTTTTCTTCTTTTTGTTCAGTTTGGGGTAGACACCGGGAGAGAAAAGAAACGCTGCTTAAAAGTAGTAGTTCTAGGCAGGCTTAGAGGGTAAAAAGCACAGTGGACTAGTTTTGAGAAATGTCAATCAGAAAAGACAAAAGGAGTGGTAGAGAAACTAGTAAACTAAAGAGAGACAAGTGGTCCCTTGGGAGGAATAGTTTTGTGCTTGACTGAATTATTCAACTAATGAAATAATTGAAATTGTATTTGTTTTGTTATTTATATTAATATTATTTAGTACTTGCCTAGTTTGTTTGTTAGCAGTCCCTCACAGTGAATGAATCCCTGAACTGATTAATATGTGATAGATTATAGTCAATAAGAGTAGAGGAAAAAGATAATACCAGAGAAGTCAGGTGAGGGCTTAGGGGGTACAGATTTTTTTTTCTGATGGGTGAAATTATCTCCATTTACCTATTTTATCAAGTCAACTAAAGGTTCTTAAGCACTTCATCTTAAAATAACATATAGTCATTGTGCTAAGTGCTAGGAATACAGATACAAGGACAAAGACTGGCCATACTCTCAAAGAGCTTACATCCTTTTTTTTTTTTTAGGCAATTGGGGTTAAATGACTTGGCCAGGGTCACACAGCTAGCGCCAAGTGTTTGGTCTGAGGCTGGATTTGAACTCAGGTCCTCCTGACTTCAGGGCCGGTGCTCTATCCACTGCACCACCTAGCTGCCCCAAGCTTATATTCTAATTCGAGAAGATAACACATAAAAGAATTAAAGCCTATATGCTTTTTTCTTTCTCTCTTTTATAGATTTCTTGCCCTTGCTCACTGAACCCTTCTTTGTAACAAGAAGCAAAACCGAACCATATAGAGCATGGATATGCAACACTCTGCATCCACAGGCTCGGACCTCTAGTGAGGGGAAAGAAGTATGTTTCATCATCTATTTTCCAGGAAGAGACTAGTCATTACATAAAATCGGCATTCAGCTGCCACCAGGCTACCTAAATGAGTGGTGAACAAGCCCAGGTTGGAAATGGGGCAGTTGGTGGTTACTGTACTTCCAGCCTGGGCTGAGATGGAGAGACCCAGTCACAAAAAAGACAAAAAAAGACAAAAGAAAGGGGAAGAGAGAAAGGAAAGGGAAGAAAATAGCACACATGAGCTTTCCAAAAATGGAGTGGGTTACCTTGAGAGATAGTGTGTCCTTCACCTGAGGTCTTCAGGCAGAGACTGGACGACCACTTGTTAAAGCCACTAGACAGAAGCTTTCCATGATAAAGTGTTATCTGAGGTCCCTCACAATGCAGATTTTGTGTTGCCAAATATGTTTCAAAAATCCTTGGAATCCCATAAGGTGTAAAAAGGGATTCTATTAGATAATGCTAACGACATTTTTCTCTAAAATATGAAAAAATGAAAATACTTGAAAAATTTCAATATAAAAGACTTAATGTCCTTTATTTTATTTTAGAATATGCCCAATGCCTATTTACTTGAATGGTACTTAATGCCCTTAGATCCTCAAGGTCAGCATTATGAGATTGAAATCCAAGTGTTCCATAGCCAAATGAGACTTGGAAAAGCTGATCTAGTCACTCTGCATTGCTAAGTGGGTGTCTAACCTCTGCTTGAAGACACACCCAATGAAAGCAAACACTATATCCCAAGGCAGCCCATTCTACTTTGAACAGCTCTGATTCTTACTAAACTTTTTCTTTACATCAAACATAAATGCACCTTCTGAAATTTTTGCCTGTTTCTCCTGGTTTTGTCCTCAAGGACAAATAAAATGAGTCTAATGTCTTTCACATTACAGCCCTTCAAAAAATTGAAGACATTATATCATGTTCTCTTTCCCTACCTCCCAAAGTCTTCTCTTCTCCATGCTTAACATTTTCAATTTCTTCAATTCATGGATGTTTATAAAAGATTAAATCTAGTCATAGAAATAATTGAATAATCTTTTGCTTGTCTAGTTCTCAGATTAAATATCGCATCCTGACATGAACATAAAGAATCAGGCATGGATGTCCAGCAAACCCCAGAAGATCTTTAACTTCTGTGGAAACCCAAAGAAAGGCTGTGGCAAGATGGTCAAAGGTTAGATTGATGCAAGAACAGTCAGTATAATGTAATATACTAAGGGAAGAACTTCACTAGTGTGAGGGCTGGCAAAAAATGAACTGATTGGAGCTCAGGTAGGTGAACCAAAGTCTAAGCCATTCTAGGGCCACCTAGGATAGAGCACCAGCCCTGGAGTCAGGAGGACCTGAGTTCAAGTGTGGCCTCAGCCCAAACACTTCACACTTACTAGCTGTGTGACCCTGGGTAAGTCCTTAACCCCAACTGCTTAAACAAACAAAGCCAAAGCCATTCTACCTTCCTGAGGCCCTTTCCCAAACAGAACCTTTAAATAGCTGAAAAAGAGGTATTGAATAGGTTGGGGATTAATTTGTAATCAATCAACAAGCATTTATTAAGCACTTATGTGCCAGGAATTTACAACCAGAAACTGAGGTCAGAGGCCAGGTGGGCTAGGTGATTTCCTTCCACAAATCTCTTCTCTCTAGTCCCCTCCTCTCCCCTACAGGAAATGTTGAAATACTACTTTATAAATCAGCTACTTGGCCTTAACTCATCTAATTGGACCCAGGGCAATTTCCAAAAACTATGATAATCCATGAGGACCTTTTCCTCCAAAGAAAAGTACTTTTGCTCACTTCAAATTATTTTCATTATTTTGATTCTTTAGATTTCAACAATTTATAGAAGATTTTCCAGTTATTCATACACATGAGAAAATAAAAATTGTTTTATTAAAATAGAAAAGCTGCCTGGTACATTGCATTGAAGACATTTACACAGACAAGAGAGCAAGTGTTACAAACATGCTACATTAGCATATGGATATTCCCAAAGTGCCTACTTTAAACATCATTTTGGCAAAAAATAATTATGTCCATATATTCTTCAAAAGTTGGCTAATACTGAAAAAAAAATTCTTCATGTAGAATTTAAATTCAGGCGCATAAAATAAGTATTAAATTGTATAGCTTATTTCAAATATTTAAACACATAAAGTATAAAATTTAATAAACAACATGCGAGACATTTTAATATTTAGAATAGTATCTATACATATATATAGTATATTTATATAAAAACAAACATAAAAAAAATTTTGCGACAAGGAATAAGGCATAATACATAGTATCTACAATGGACATACTATAAAGACAGAATGCATCTTCATGGGAAAAAAAAGTACCGGATAACATTTGTGATTGTCATTTTAAAAACATGGCTATTAGTTTTCTTCATAATAAAATATAAGGAATATAAGGATCATGAATTATTTACACAAACAACTAATTACTTCACTTTTTGGCAATTATTTAAGTAGCAGCAATTTGTTTTAAGACTGACATTTAAAAACCCTGTCAGTACAGTTGACTGTTCCCACCCAAATTAGGTTTGAGTAATATGAAATTGCATAAGGCAGAGAATGCTTCCTTTATTGCTTAAAAAACATCTTTTTAATGTACTTTAGAGGACTTTTCCCTTTCATAAAAGTCAGAAACTCGTCTGTGACATATCTAGCTACGGGATATAATGAGACACTTAATTACAGGAAGGGTACCTTGTCATTAAACTAATGGATGTGTTCTTATATAGCTCTGTAAGGTGTCAGTTGAATTTTTTAGAGTCTCACATTTTTCACTAACTAAACATGATAATTTCTGAAATATTTTATCTTCATTTCTGATACTGAGTTGGCAGTGCCTTTACTAATACTACATTTCTTTGTATCTGAGCTTCTGGTTCAAGTAGCTGATATGTAAACAAATGCTGAAAAACACTGGAACCTTCCCATTAAAGGAACCCAGCAAGGAATCCTTCCATGAAGCGAATCCTTTTATAAAGCAAAACAAAAAACAAAACCAAAAAATATCCCTAAGGTGGGTAACAGCATCTCATTCACCAGATTCCCAATGGTAGAGCACATCTCTAAGCAAATTTCAGATCAAGTTCATGTTGTAATACAATGTCAAAGATCTAGTTTTTAAAAAGTTATTCTGAAGACTCATTTTCTATCTCATAATTGTAAAAAATGTAGAAGATTTGATAATGAGAAACATTACTTAAAAAGAAAAATACTGTGTGGTGCATTATTCAAGTGACATGTGCTTTTACTTGGTGATTGCCATAATAAAGACCATCAGTCCTGAATGTTTTTTACAATATGGAAAAGAAACATATCATAGAGAATTAGTTTTGCACATTTTGTAAGCAGTTATGTGCCATGCAAAACTAATAAGGCAAGTACAAGGCTGAAGAAAAAGGGACAATAGAGAGGCAGAGTTTTTGTGCTAGCAGAGGGAAGGCTACTTGAAACTTGCACCCGGGAGATGATAAGTGCTGAAAGTGGAACGTGTGATGCCAGAGTTGGGCTATCAGAATTGATCAGTGACTCAATCTTTTCTGCTTCTTTATTGCAAGCCTCGATCTGGGAGAGAAGAAGAAAAAAAAAGATCATGAAACAATTACATTGGGTCTGAGAAGTTTTAAATTGATCCTGCCAAATTTGGAAACATGCATATTCTGGATAAGGCTTAACTCAGGTCATTCCAGTGACTGAAGCTCAAGATCATTATGTAATGAGACATTTGTCATCTGCTGTGCCTGCCATGGCACCCTTGAGGTCACTGGATCTGGCTGCTGCCCACTTCTAGCTGCAGAATCATATTTAAATCAACATTGCCATTGAAGCTGGAAAGATTGTGTTGTCAGTCAACTGTTCTATGGCTCCACTCACCATCCCAGTGACTTCTCAAATCAAAACACTGCTTTTTGGTTCCCACTCCTCGATGGCAGGGACCAGGTTACTTTTGTATTTGTAACACAGCATTTAATAAATACTTTAAATTCATTTTTCATCCAATCATCTGCAAAAGCCTATTACCTTCTTACATATTAATCAAATATATCCTTGATACATGTGCAAACAATTTTCAAAATTTTATAGAAATGAGAAAGCAAGCATGTTATCTTTTTAGCTTTTTCTGATGGTAATAGCTTTTTTTAAAAAAATCTACTCTTTTGGAATTTTCTTCTCTTTGAGATACCCTGAAAATCTGAATTTCTTTAAAACTGTTACCTCAAGCACATATTTCCTTACATATTTGTTCAGCTGAAGAATTCTCAAATTCATTTGAAACATTTTTTTTTACTTCATATTCTGTATTCAATAGCATAATATTAAGCATCTGAATGCGGTAGGGCACACTGTCATTGGTCACAGAATTGTTATGAGGATCAAATGAGATAAATGTATAAATGAGAAGCACATGAGATAAAGTACTAGTAATGAGAGTTTACATTTTTATATCACTGATAAAAACAGGCTGCTACAGAAAGAAGGAAGATCTGATTTATTTCACATCTCCTTACTGTCTTGTTTCCAGTTTCCTGTTACTGCTTTTCACTGTTTTGTGAGGTGGTACCACTTGGTTTGCCTATTATTATTCTGCTCCACAAGGTTTTGCAAACAAATTTGTATGTAGCTTGTGGACCAATCAAGTTTGTGCACCCTTGACAAGTGTGGGCTGGCTGTGGTTTCTGGGCTTTGTTAATTTCCCTATTGTGTCAAGTGTTTCACGTTGTTTAAATTTTTCTAAGAAATAGTGAGAAGAGCCAGTCTTTATTTTTATCCATTTCTCATTTTCAGAGTCCACAGCTTAAATGGGCTGGTTTACAGTTGTGTAGTGTCTTCTAACTCATATTTATACTTCCTTTTAAATTGGTACTGATTTTGACTTTTGTTCTAACTAGAAAATAACATGACTAGACCAGACCCTAAAATGAGTCTCATTGGTAGCTCTCATGCTACTGTGAAGTGGTTTTCCAGGCTCTATCCACTATTCAAATTGTTCTTGATGAAAATATTCATGGTATGCAGGCATACCTGGGTGAGTTGATGAGTCACCCTTCTAATGGGCTGCAGTTTGTATTCTGGTTTAATATGAGGACAATGTCAATACAGATAGGGCTGAATTCCTTCAGATTTGTTGGTTATTGGGCAAAGTTCTCCAGTAACTAACCAAGAGGGAAATTTTATAGCGATTGTCTAAAAATTGGGATTCTTAGAATCTTTGCCCCTTCTCCACCAGTTAATTTATTTAACGTTTAATTACCAATTAAAAAGCAAATAGTGCTAAATTTAAAAATGTAAACAAATGTCTAGCAATGTGTATTTCATTAAGATTCAATGCTAAAATCTTACCTGTAATGCTTTTGGATAATGATCAACAGGAATGATCAGAATCACTATTTCTGATTCAATGCTTAAGTAGCCAAATACATCACACTGTGGAACTGAAATGTGCAAGCGAATTTTCTCAAGTATTTCCAGAACAGTTATGGGTTTTTTGGTTGTTACCTAGAAAAAGATAGATTTTTTAATCATCTGCAGTACTGGTTCATGTGAAAGCTGCATTTCATTAATTTGCAAGTTCAGACCATGTTACAATGAGTTCCTGCTCATAACTAAACTCCAAATTCAATCTCATACCTATTTGTGTTAGGAGGCCTTTTTGTGTATGCCCAATCATCTGAACTAGCGAGGAAAAATCTTCTATCATTTGTTGTTGTTGTTGTTGTTTTTAGGCAATTGGGGTTAAGTGACTTGCCCAGGGTCACACAGCTAGTAAGTGTTATGTGTCTGAGGCTGGATTTGAACTCGGGTACTCCTGACTTCAGGGCTGTTGCTCTACCCACCGTGCCACCTAGCTGCCCCCAAAAAATCTTCTATTAAAAGTTATTTCTTTGAAAGAATGTTTTTAAAGCTAGAGGCACAGGAAGATAATAACTGCCTTATATAAAAATGCATTTTATCCAAAACCCATGGGTATGAGCATTGGTGCCCACACATTTTGGGGTCTTACCCCAGAGTCAGTGGTGAAAAGTGGGATGATACACAACTGAAGAAAAATTGTATATATGACAGAAGACTTATATGGGGAATAGCTTTATGATGAAGAAATATTAGTTCCACAGGTACTCTTTTGAGAGAGCTTCATATGAGGAAAAAATAAAACCACCTAGACTCTTTAGCACCCTAGAATCATGGAGCTCTTTGGACTTGTGGGAGCTTAACTGGATAGATTTATTCTATTCTGTCCTGGCACCTAACCCCAGTCAGCATGCTGACATGTGAATTTTTTTGAGCAAAGGTGTCAGGCTAACTGTGAAACATAGGAGGTGTATCATTAATTCCTCTGTAAATACTTGCTGCAGTCATCATATACCATAGGGAAAAGATACTTATCAACCTTTCTGGTCATACTTCTGAAATAACTCATATTCATACAATGCCTCTTTATAACAACACTGAAATAGATAACAAAAGTATTTCTTTATGCATTTTGCAAATGAGAAAACTGAGAGGTTAAGTATTTTGCTCATGGACATCCAGCTGTCAGGATTCAAACCTAGGACTTCTAGCTCACAGCACTCTTTTTTTGCCACATAGCCTTCCCCTTAGGTAGAGTAATCTTAAATTTGAAAGAATGTCTCTACCTGTAAAAAAATAATTTTGCTAACATGCAAGCCTGACCCTGTCACCCTGCCCTTCCACCCCCAATTCAATAAACTCCAGTGACTCCCTATCACCTCCTGGATCAAATATAAAATCCTCTTTTTGGCATTCAAAGCCCCTCACAATCTGGCTCTCCCTTTCCATTCTTCTTGCACTTTACAACCCCACCACGTATTCTTTGATCTAGTGACCTGGGCCTCTTTTCTATTCCTTGAACAAGACACTCCATTTCTCGACTCTGACATTTCCTCTGACTTTTCCTCATGCGAAATGAGCATGGAATGCTCTCCCTCCTTATCTCTGCCTTCTGCCTTAGATGGTTCCCTTCAAGTCTCAGCTAAAATCCCACTTTTTACAGGAAGCCTTTCCTGATTCCTGTTAATTACAGTGCCTTCCCACTGTTGATTATTTCTAATTTATCCTGCATTTGGCTTGTTTGCACATAGTTATTTGCATGTTTCTCCCCAATTAGATTTTGAGCTCTTTGAAAGCAGACGTTATCTTTCACTTTTTTTGTATCCCTAGCACTTAGCACACTTAATAAATCTTTATTGACTCTCATACTCTCTCCTTTGTGTAATTTCATCATTGTTGAGAAATCTCATTGCAGAAACTTCCTCTACTTATTTAGATCCGTCAAGTCAATCAATAAGCATTTATTAACCTACCATGTGCCAGGCACTGTGCTAAGCACTGAGGATACAAAGAAAGGCAAAAGACAATCCCTGCTCTCAAGGAGCTCTTAGTTCTTGAGCATTGCTTAAGGCACTGAAATATTAACTACCTTGTCCAAAGTCACAATGTGCCAGAGACTAGACTTGGACCCAAGTCTTCCTGACTCCAGGGATGGTTCTCTATCCATCTACTTCCAGAGTTATCTCCTATCCATCTATATTGTATCACTTGTACATGCCTACCCTAGTACTAATAATCAAGACTTTGGTTCTTAACATGATGGTTTGTTTGTTCATTAGATGGCAGCAGTCTTTAGTAGATGCTATTAAGGTATCAAAACTTTGTCAAAGTGATACACTTTGCTTAGTGTTAACATGCTCAGTGTTCACTTGGATTTTAAGTGGCCTTTTGATAGACTGACAGCTCCTCCTAGTGAGAACAAGTCAAATAAGCAAATTAGTCTGGAACCAGAGCTGTCAGCAAAGACACACCCTGACAATGTACTGGTTACTGTATATCCTGAGCTGATGAAGTTTAACTGTGACAGTTACAGATATTAAAATCACCCAAATTCAGTACTATTTTGTCTTTCCGTTCTCAACAAATATGGTCTAAGAAAGAGCAAATTATTAATAATGGACCTGCATTCATTTCTGGAAGATGAGGAAGCTGGCCTAGATGCTATCTAATGTCCTTGGCTTAAATGTTAGAGGAAAAGTTTACTTTTCCGAATTATAAAACTAAAACCCTAATTGTTAAAGTGAGTTTACAAAATTGTTTTAAAAGAAGATGTGGCTTTTCTAAAATTTCTAATATTTTCTTAGTTTTTACCTTGGCAATTGTATCCAACTTTTCCTTGTCAAATAAAACTCTTAACATCCCTGCACACAATGGGCAACACGCACCTGTACAACAGAAACCAATGAAAATAAAGCAAATTGAAAACACTTGGGTAAATAATCAGCCCCTATATGAGGCTGTACAGAGGTATGTATGTGGGGTTGGAAGTATAAGCATGACCTGTGACAGGGGCTGTTTGCATAAAGGATAAAAGGAAAGAAAGGCAATTTTTAAGAAAGATCTGGTTCATAGGACTTGCTGCAATATTGCAGGGAATGAAACATGGACTTCAAACTGCCAATAAATGACATGTGTGAACCTTCATGAACCCACCAGGTGAGATGACTGGTTTGCATCCAGCTGCTGGGAGAGGAGGACACTGGACTGCAGCACACTCTGTGAAGGAGCTGTATTCTGAGAGTGCTCCTACAGCCTGGCAGGGGCCAGAGTAGTCCACTGCCACCCGATCAGCATAGGCGGCGCACACATTACTGTAGGTTTCACCATTGTGTCCACAAACGGGTTTTGCTGATTTGCAAAAGGGCTGAAAGAAAAAAAAAAATAAGACTTACATTTAACTTTAATTATGTGGAAACTCTTTTCTGCACCATTAGGATCCTAAGGGAATTTATTCTTTCTCATGGGAAAAATAAAAGGCATAGAGGCAAATTCCAGAGAGATTCCACATTTTATCAATGGGCCAAACAACAGCCACTTGGGCCATTCAAACAAGATTACTTTTTCACTATCCTGTGGCTCCACTGATACGTGTTCATCCACTGTGAACTCATAAATTTATATATAATTACAATTAATGTAAATTATAATTATACATAATTATAACTAATAAAATTATATATAAAATGCTATTTATTGCATTAGGGTGTTTTTGCTGATGTTTATCAGTTATTCTCTACAAAAATATAAGCCAATCACAAATGTTCCAACATATTGTTATTAGATATATGTGTGTGTATGTATGTATGTGTATATATATATATATGTACATGCATATTTTTTAATCGTTAATTAAAAAGCCTACTCTGTCACTTGTGAAACATGGAATCAAGTTTTAAGGTAGGTCTGTTTTAGAGCTAAGATGACAAATAGAATCAAATGGATATAAGATCAAATTTTATTGTTATGTAATGACCTAACCACATGTAGGGAGAGAAAAGAATTTCAGTGCCTCTGCAACCTATATGGAGTTAGAAAACCTGGGTCCCACTTCTACAAGAGCCACTTAACTAGCGGCATGATGTTCGGCAGGTCACTCTACCATTCAGGGCCTCAGTTTCTTTGTCTATAAAATGGGAATAATGCTTGCACTACCTCACAGGGTTGCCAAAATCAGCAAACAAAATAAAGTGCTAAGCATATTACAACTGTACACAATATAAATGCCAAGCATGGTGATTACTAATACAGCTTTTGATAATGATACTAACTGCTATCACCCATTTTTTTTTTGCCTCAAGATTGGCTTCATCTAAACCTTTCCAAGTAGATTGGTAAGTATCTTTTTCATAAAGGTCTCAAAATAAAAATACTCCTAATTCTTATCTACTTAAAACACACAACTGGAGAAAATTCTGGTTTTGGGTAAGATGGCTAAAAACTAACCATTAGTTGGGGAAGTTATAAAGAGTATTCTTGCATGGGTATGGACTGGACTAGATAACTTCTGGAGTCCAAATCTGGTGACCTCTGGCAAGTCACTTAAACTCTTTGGGCCTCACTCTCCTTAAATGTAAAAAGCTGAAACTAAACTCAGGAGATGATTTCTAAGATCCCTTCTTGCTCTACATCCTACGATCCTATATTCTTACTATGAAGACTTTAATTTCATAGTTTTGCAAACATATATCAAGCAATTGGTAGAAAACTGTAACCTGCTAAGAATAAAACAATTGGAGAAATGCATCCTCCTTAAACATGGAGCAGAAGAAACATTTCAGTTGCTTGGCATTTTCATTTTAATCTTAATCTTCAAAATCACTTCAAGATACTTTTACACTAAAAGAGGACCAACAATCAAATACAGTAATTAGAACAGCAGCAGAAGGGAAAGCTTGCTTAAGCAGCTGAACTTGGTTGTAGGAATCCCTTCCTAATTTTATGTCTTTCACAAATCTTCCCAGGTCACTGTGATCTAGTTACAAGAGTCAAGACTTTGTGTGCTAAAACCAAGATTAGAGAAAAAGAGAGCTCTAGTTTATTCAGTTATTTTATAGGTATTAAAGTTTGTGATGTACATTTATAAAATGAATATGTGTGATGAACTCCCTCAAATATGTATGGTTTTGATCTTATTTAAATGCAGTTGCTCTATAACTGCAAACTCAAATGGGGCAATGGATCCAGCAGAAAAGAAAACTCTGGAGACAAGGCAGACTCATGTCCTGGGGATACATAAGTGAAAATCCTAACTAGGAAAAACCAAGAGGAAAAGAAGGAGGAAAAGACCACAGAATGAGAACAAAGCACAAATTTAATCATTCGGAATTGGAAGAATAAGCTGCATCATGTTTGATTTAGGCTGGGGTCCTAGAAAAGATTGTCTATGCCACCTACGGTGTAAGAAAACCAACATTGGTGGGTGTTAACTGGTTTGGAGGGGTCAACTATTTGAACCTGATTTTGTGTAATTAATGCTAGAGAGGAAGGGCTTATCTTTCTCAAGGACTAAAGTCCAAAAAGTTAGTTTTAGAATAAACAAAGTGGAACTGAAAAGAGAGAGATTTTAAGCTGGCCAAAGTTAAGATTCTACAACTAAGATATTTCGCTGTAATTTGCCTGCTTATTTCATAATTTGTACCCTAGGATTCCTTACACTGTAAAAAAGTAGTTGTTTTCTAAATATCTGGCTGAATGTCATGTAATGATTTCAGAAAGGCATCAAGGAATAAAGTGACAGACTTAAATGTCAAGATCATAGTCTAAAAAAAAGAATCTCTTTTATCCCTTCATTGGCAGCAGATATGAGTGGCTCCCAATGAAGGTGTAGCCTTATTTTTGGAAGTGCCCCTCGTATTTTCATCACTGATGTATTTCACTGGTCAGAGTATAAACTGTACTTCCCATCCAGGGTCTTGCTTGTAAAAAACCCAAGTGTGACCTACAACGAGAGTAAGGGAACAAAAGCACAAATAACCAATATCAAAGAAGTATTTTAAGTAAGTGACTTATTTAATCCCCATAATTTTATGCAATGATTTTTCAGTGTGCATCTATTTTTTTTTTCCTTTTGGAAGAGATTTCACTTTAGGAGTATGATCTATTTAGACTAATACAACATATCTTAACTCCAATATTTACATGCATATGAGGGATACCTCAAAAATAGGAAAAAAGCTAACATGCATTTTAGTATTATATTAAAATTTAAAAGAGTAGGGAAGGTAATAAGCATTATTAAGCACTTAGTATGTGCTAAGTGCTTTATAAATACTATCTATTTAATCCTCAAAACAACCCTGAGAGGTAGATGTAGGTAGAGGTAGGATATTATCCCTATTCCACAGCTGAGGAAACTGAGACAAACAGTTAAGTGACTTCCCCAGGGTCACATAGCTAGTAAGTATCCAAGACCAAATCTGAACTCAGTGAACCACTTGGCTGCCTCTAAAAACATTTTTATTCATTGATCAGTACATCATTACAGTTACTTCAGTAACTCAGTAGTTCAAAAATTTGTTTGATACATGTTCCCAAATATATGTACTTCTACCTGTGCTTCCAAAAAGTATACACTTATTTCATTCTTAGAAATAATTTGTATATTTGTTAGAAAAATAAGAAAAAAAGAAAAATTTGGAAAAAAAAAAGAAAAGAAAAATCACATAATTGTACCTGACATGGGCCTTTGTAAGACACAGTTTTTCCTCTTTGGTATAAAGTGCAGAGGTTGTTGTGTTCTACATTGTCTGTGTCACAAACAGGATCCCGAATCTGGTCACAGTTGAGTTGTCGAGGCACACATTCATACTGGTTGCACCCAAATTTATCAAAAGTGGTCAGGCAAACCTGAGGTTTTGGTATGCATCTAAAAAAAAAAGTATGTCCATTACAGAGAACTACTTATTATGTTCACTTTTTGGGATAGTCAATAATCACTGACACACTTATCAAAGACAAGTTTTAGCCAAGAATCTGAAGTTTTATACTTTGATACTTCAAAAGAGCCATCATTTCTCCAATGTGATTAAAATCTCCTTCAACATTGATATTTGATCAACCTTAACCCTAACCCTCTATATCTTAGGTGATATCTGTTCAACCCATCCTTATAAGATGGTTTCTGACTCCACCAGCTCATTGACTCCACCAAGAACTGAGCTCTTCCAAGATACCAACAATTTCTTAATTCCTACATCCAACGGCCTTTTCTCAGTCCTTCTTGACCCCTCTACAACATAACACTGTTGGTCACTCACTCCTTCATGGCTACTTCCTCCTCCCTGGGTTTTTGTGACCTGGATATCTTTTGGCACTCCTCCTACCTGTCTGGCCATGCCTCAGTCTTTTTTTTACTGGATCATCAACCACATGCTACTTCTTATTTGTGGGTGTAGTTCCAAAGCTCTGTCCTTGGCCCTCTACTATTTTTTCCTCTATATACTCTCCTTTGGTGATCTCATTGGTTCCACTGTTTAATTATCCTCTCCATACAGACATACCCCCAAATCTAGACGTCCAACTTTCATTCTTCTTATGAGCATGACTAGTACCACATCACTAATTACCTGCTAAGCATCTCTTCTTGTATATCCCTTAGGCTCCTGAAACTCAGCATCACTAAAACAGACCTTACCATATTTATTCCAAAACCATTTCTTCATCTTAACTTTCCTATTTCTTGTGAAGGCACCATCATCCTTCCAGTTGTCCAGTTAGGATACTGGAGTTCATATTGACTTCACTCTCTCTTACCTTGCATACTGGTTTTTGAATCGTGTTGATTTACCTCTACAAGTTCCCTCACCTGTATCTCCTCTACGTCCAGTCTCCATCGTTTGGCCCACTGCAATAGCCCTCTAACTGTCTTCCTCTCACCAGTCTCTTTTCTCTCCAATCCATCTTCCTCACTGGCCTAACAATGTCACCCCTTGCTCAAGAAGTTTCAGTGTTCCTCTATTACCACAAGCATGAAATAAAAACTGTCTGGCACTGAAAACTCTCTAATGACAGGTGCCAGCTATCTTTATAGACAAATTTGATATTACTGCCCTCAAGAATTCCACATTCTAGCCAAACTGTCTTATTCTCTCTATAATATTCCATGTTTTGCTTCTGTGCAGGCCATTTCTCATGCCTCCTTTTCTTCCCTGACACTGCCCTACTTTGGTACAGGCAACACCTCATGCCTCGACTACGGCAACAGCCTTCTTGGGGTCTGCCTGCCCCAAGCCTCTCTCCATTTAGGCACCAATATGATTTTACTAAAGCACAGGTCCTACCAAGTTAACCTTTCTATTCAATAAACTCCTGTGGCTTCCTATCACCTCCAGGATCAAATACAAAACGCTCTGTTTGGCATTCAAAGTGCTCCTACTTTTCCTGTTTTCTTACCCTTGGCTCCCTGTCCCATACTCTTTGATCCAGTGACACTAGCTTCCTGGCTGTTCAGCAGCAAGACACTTCATCTCTTGGCTCTGGGCATTTTCTCTAACTGTTCCCCATACCTGGAATGTTCTCCCTTCTCTGCTCCAACTACTGACCTTCCAGGTTTCCTTTAAGTCCCAACTAAAATCTCACCTTCTACAGGAAGTCTTCCCGAACCCCTCTTAATTCTAGTGCCTTCACTCTTTTAAGTCTTTCCTATTTATCTTGTATATAGTTAATTTTGTATATATTTGTTTGCAGATTGTCTCCCCCATTACATTTTGATCTCCTTGAAGGAAGGAACTGTCTTTTGCCTCTTTTTGTACCCCCAACCTTAGCATAGTGCCTGGCACATAGTAAGTGCTTAATAAATATTTACTGGTTGATTGTGCCTTTATGTAGACTGTTCCCCTATACCTGCAATGTTTTCTCTCCTCACCTCTTTTTCTTGGAACTCCTAGCTCCCTTCAAGCTTAGGTCAAGTGCCAACTCCTACACAAGACCTTTCAACTTGCACTTGCTCCTTAAAATACTTTCTATATATTTTTTTATTTATTCATCTGGGTACATACTATTTCCCACTAGTAGAACACACCTTGAGGGCAGAGACTATTTTCATTTTTCTCTTTCTATTCCTAGGGCCTGGCACACAGCTGGCATTTCTTAAATATTTGCTGAACAAATGAATTCATTATTTATTTTGGCCAAAAGAATTCATCACACGATGGCCAACGTATACAGAATAAGCTTTTATACAATATGGGAAAATTTGAATCCAAAAAGTGAAAGAACAGAGCCTCAATTTTAAATTTTAAGGGGAAATTAAAGTGCCTTCAGAACTGTGAATTTTTTGTGATAGTATTTGGATTTGTAATTTATAGTAGTGTTAGCTATAATTTAGCTCCAGAGAATCAAAAGAATGATTTCCGGGCAGCTAGATGGCTCAGTGGATAGAGCACCAGCCCTGAAGTCAGGAGGACCTGAGTTCAAATCCGGCCTCAGACCAAACACTTGATACTTACTAGCTATGTGACCCTGGGCAAGTCACTTAACCCCAACTGCCTTAAAAAAAAATTATTTCAAAATCAGTGCAAAGAAAAGTAACACTTAGTACGCCTTATACTGATTAACAATGGGGGGGATGATTGCCAGGAATTTAATATAAAATTAAAACTTAAAAGTCTAGATTAGAATTAGGGGAAAGTACAGAAGGAGAGTTGGGGACAGTGCATGCATGGGGAAAGACTGTCAATCAATCCCATCTTTTTCTTTATGATGTTTTCTGGTTTAGATTCTAAGGTATTATATATTTTCCAAATGGCTGACCAATTCTCTGTCTCTCTTTTAACATGTGAAAATCCTGACAAAACCATGGAAAAGAACTTTCAGGATTGATATGTAACTGCTTAAATTCTAAATCTTGGTAAGAAGCCAGTGGCATTACTGTGATAATGATCTAATCACGACTTTTAGGAGCTTCAGTGAACCAACAAAAACTTAAATCCCAGCTGTTTAAAGGAAACTAAAAGCTCTAGATGGTCAAACTGAATAAATGACTTCTGTCCACCCAGTAGAGAAAATCAATATTAAATCCTACTTCAATTTCACTTTAAGCCCAGATTGGAATCTAGATTTCAAAGGGTCAAAGAACAAGTATCAGCATGCTTTTCCAAAGACTATTTAATTCTCTTCTCTAAAAACAAAGTCTTGGAACAATAAAGTTTTACTGTATTATGTCCTACTTGTTAAAAGCAATCATTTGAAAAACACTGTATAAAGTTTATGAAATACCTTTGAGATTTTTGACAGGGATTAGGATTACACGGATCCTTAGAGACACATGATCCAAATTCAAATTGATGGTCCTGAAGACCAACACATCGTGCAATGCATGCACTTGGATAAGTGCGTCCATTCTGTCCACACACTGGGACAAACTGATCTGCACAGTTACATGGTAGACCTGAAAACAATAAGATTACAATCATCACATTTACTTGCATGTTTCCTACAAATGCTGTGATTAGAAAATCTTGGAAAATGTTCTCCCCTTCAAAATTCCATGTTTCTCCCTGCTCTAAAACAATCACCATGATGACAGCTAAGGATGGAGCTGACAAAGAGCTAAATTAAATGAACAGGTGACACTTGGTACAGGCTGGGATGGAGGAAATGGAGAGCTGGCTAGCACTCCTTCTTCTAGCTTTCCAACAACTTGCTTCTCTCCCCTTTATCCTCTCTCTTTAGCTTCCTTTTCGGGGGTTGGGAACATAGTGTTGTTGAATTCCCTAGTATGCTGACAATCCTTTGGACAATGTGAAGTTTCCTGGTTCTTCCTTTGGAGTGCAAGGTGCTTAAAAGCTTAGACCTGAAACCTGAAGGAGATATGAGTAGACTCCAAGGAAAACCGCAAATTAGGTTCCCTACTTGTCTTTTTGGGTAGCTAGGTGGCACAATGGACAGAGTACCGAGCCTGGAGCATGGAAGGCTCATCCTCTTGAATTCAAATCTGCCCTCAGAAATTTACCAGCTGTGTGATCCTGGGCAAATCACTTAACCCTGTTTGTCTCAGTTTCCTCAACTGTAAAATGAACTGGAGAAGAAAGTAGCAAATCAATCCAGTATCTTTGCCAAGAAAACCCCTAAATGGGGTCACAAAAAGTCGGACACGACTGAAAAGCAACTGAACTGAAACTTTTTCCCTATCCTGGCACTGTCCCCTCCCCTCACTCTGCCCCCCTGCCAAGCTAGAATCAGCTCGGCAGGAGGGGAAAGGAGCTACTAAGGTACAGTTATCAGGGCTGCTCTTTTGCCTTCTTTCAACTTGGAAATAGAGAAGTGGGAGAAGTGGGTGCTCGGAGAGACTAAGGCCTTGGTCTCAACTAGAGACAGAAGCAACCTTAATGCTATGTTTATAAGATTTTAGGATACATGGAGGAAAGAAGCGGAGCTGAGCGAGTCCTCTGGAGACAGGTATTCAGGGAGGCAGCAAGGTGTGCTGGAAAGATCTAGCTTAGGTCAGAGAACCTCAGTTCAAACTCTGTGTCTGCTGATTACCTGCAAGTCACCTCACCTGGAACCTGTTTTCTCATCTGCAAAGTGAGAGGGTTGAATGAAGTGACCTTCAAGGTCAGCTTTCCATCCCTCAGTCTAAGTCTCTGATAGCTATGGTAACAGGAATAGGCTTACCTTGACTATTTTTGCTGTCTGGGCATTAGAGGTCAAACACATGATAAACTTAGGTTGTTGAGAATGAGTGAAAATTTTCCTGGTTTAGTAAATTTAGGTAATGATTTCCAGAGGTTGAGAAAAATTTCAAACACAAGGGCTCTTTGATATATGCCACCAAAGTAGCCTGATTAATGATTAGTCCTTTTAGTGATCATACATTAGTAGGTATTCAATTAAGCACACTGGTATGACCTAACTAAAATTAGTCCCATCATTTATGTACCTCCACCATGTCTCCTTCTGGAAATTTAGAGTTTAAAGGTGTCCGAAAGAACTCCCTGATCTAACTACCTCACTTTATAAATGAAGAAACTGATGTCCAGCTAAGTTAAGTAGCTTAGGTTCTATTTTTTCCCCTATATTTATCTGCCCTTAAATTCATTAGTCATATACTACTATCTGATGTTTGAGAATGACTGACATCCCAGTTACCTTCATACCAAAATTTCAGGAATAAGTCACACAAAGGGGAAAAAAACCTATATCCAAGATATCTGAAGGACCAGTTTGTTTCCTGTGATTTGAAATGATTACCTGTAAATGTGTGGCGATCATCCTCTGAGCTGTGTTCATTTAGGCACAGGCGGGTAGAGCATATCAAATTGCCAGCAAAACAGGAACAGACATTGCAGTCTATGTTAAAAGACATTCCGTGGCCTTAGAGAAAAGAATGAAAATGTTTGAGAATATTAGAAACATGTCATGTGTTTAAGAAATAGATAGAAGTGTGTTTTATAATGTAGAATTAAAACAGAAGTTCTCAAAACATTAATTGTTCATACTAACCAATTTGTTAAATCTATTCTATTCTGCATGCCCACAGTGCCTCAGCACCCAAAAACTTAAATGTTTAAAATTCATTTTTTTCCTATACCTTCTGCAACATATGACATCAATACATTTTATTTGGGAAAATGGCAGAATATGAAATAGTTGGTTGCAGAATGGCTACAGTCTCCTCTGGGGCACTGCTGGGTACAGAGTCCACTCAGTGCTACATCTATTAAAAAAACTTTTCATATGAATTATTTTTAAGCTAGCCTAAGTGTTTATAATTATAAAATACATATAACACTCACTTTTTCTTTTCCCTCCAACAATACAAGACTTCTGCAGGTCTACACAATGCATTTCCATACAGTTTTCTAATAGTCCACTTTGTCCACAAGTACAAATTTTATAACAACCAACTTCTCCTGAAGATGAAGGTACCTGGATAAGCGTTCCTTGCCGGACAATGAAATCTGAAGCTTCTCCTAATTTGCAACCTATGCAAAGAAAAATTAACTGAGCAAAATAAAAAAAGAGCTGTTGTTCTGTGATTTGTAAAACATTTATCAAAAACAGATCTTTTATGTTATATATGGATCATAAGGAATATACAAAACTTTCATAAGACTAGGACGTTTGCCTTAATGTCCTTGGCCAAAAATGACTCTTCTATGTCCCTCAAATTAATTTAATTTTAATATATCTTATTGATGCATTTTGATTTATATTACAGTTATTTCAGGGGGAAAAAAATCTGCTCTACATACCACTCCCCCCTGCCCTGCAAATGAACTCTCCTTTGTGACAAAGAATATCCTTCAAGCAAAACTATCAGATACAATGACTTTTGACAATATATTAAGCATTTTGTTATAACAGTCCTTCACGTCTTTCTGATATGTGCAAAGAGTTGTTGTTTCACTATCTTCACGGCTTTTGAATTACTCAGAGTGATCTTTTCATATACATCAATAGCGTCATGACGGGTATGATTTCTTTGGGTTCTGCTTAGGACCACAGGGTCATAGATTTACAGCTGAAAGGACCGTAGAAGCCAGCTATAGTCCAATGCCCTCATTTTGCATATGAGGAAGATGAGCTCATTTTGCTCTATATCAATTCATGCAAGTGTTTCTATATATATCTGTAAATTCTCCATATTTGCTATTTCACGCCATACAACAGTATTTCATTGCACTCCTATACTACAGGTTTTTTTAGCCATCCCTTGATTAACAGTCAGCTATTTTGTTTCTAGTTATTAGCTACCACAAAGAATGATTCTATATGCATGGCAGGACTGATTTATATTAGAGCTTTGGGTACATAATGGAGGTTTGTTTCTGTCTTTGACCTTCTTGGAGAATAAGGCTAGAAGCAGGATCACTGAAGGCCCCCTTAAATTCTATGTAGTACTAGGCAATGGCTGACTAATGATTAGTCCTTTTAGCGATCATACATTAGCAGGTATTCAACTAAGCACACTGGTATGATTCAAAGATTACTGTAGCTTGCTGTTAGCCCTGTGCAAATGTACATATATTCTCTACATTTTGGGGAAGATTCAAAGATTTAAAAGTACTATAGAAAGTTCCTACTTTACTTAAGTGGACCGTTCCACAGACCTCTACATAAAATAATTTTTACGTAACGTGAATCTGCCTTGAAGGGGGCCACTTGCCTGTGGAGGAATGGGGCCAGTACACAGTTCAAAGACATATGGAAGCCAGGGAAAGAGAAGTGAGAGGAGGAAGAAGAGGAATGCACAGAGGCCAGGAGCAGCTACATGGGGCCTGGCCAGAACCAAGAGGAAAGATATATTCAGGGAAGACACGTGGGGGCTGGACATGGACCCCGACAAGAGAGGATGGGCAACTGGAGTGCTGGAGGTCAGAAGCCAAATATCTTATTCAGTGAAGGTGGCAGTCTCTCCATACTTACATTCTGCTTTCACTTGGAAGGTTTTTTAGTTTTATTTTTTGGTAGGAGACAACAGAATGCCAAACTGAGGGGCAGGAGCTCAGAGAACATAGCGGATTTTTTTTCTTTTAGACTTCTTTATGTAAAGTCAAATTTGCAATGTGAATTTACATAAAGCAAAAACTATAAATTTCAAGTATTTGAAAAATAAGCATGTAAAAATATTTAGGAGCAGAACAGAATTCTTTAATAAGTGCAAATATTTGGGTGGGATTAATAATGAAAATTTCCCATGTCTATATATGTATGTGTGTATATTTATTTGTGTATATATATATATATATATAATATATATATATATATATATATATGCATATACACATTTTCCTATCCTGAAGTGGCTTTCTTGGTTTTCAAAAAATAAACTTTTCAATTAAGTTAAATCTATGAGTCAAAGAATCTGAAAACAGATTCACCCCTAAAAGGCCTGTGCTTCTCTGAACACAATTTTTAAAATCTGGTCTCAAAGTATAAAATGAAAATGTCTACTAATTCATAATCTTAAATAGTATCATGATTCCATGGCTTATCTAGCATATAAATTAATCACAGGATTATAGCTTTAGAGTTAGAAGGGCCTTTAGAGACCATTTAGTCCAACACTTCCATTTCACAGAAAGGGAAACTGAGACCCAGAAAGATTAAGTGACTTCCCTAGGTCATACAGGTAAGTTGCATAGTAAGTGACAGAGAGGGTATGTGAACCCAATTCTCTGACTCCAAATCTGATAACCTCTCTACTGTACCAGATCTCCCACAGGATGCCAAGCTAGAAGGCTCATTTGAAATAAATATAGTCTAACCTCATCACTTTACATACAAGGAAACTGGAATTTGTTCAAGGTAACCCAGGGTGAAAGGCAGCTGGGATTTGAACCCAAGTCCTCGGATTCCAGTCCTGCGCTCTCTACACAAACCCAAACTGTCTCCTTAGGACTATCCTTCGAGACAGAATAAAACAACGGACATCTTTACTGGTTTGATGATTCTTCTTCTGGAGATCATTCCTCATGTATTTTGCAGACGGTTATATTAACACAGCAAAGAGAAATGATATTTTCCCTCAATTACATGTTAAAACAATTTTTTAAACTTTTTTTAAAAAAGTTTTGAGTTCCAAATTTTAAGTTTTGAGTCCCCCCCTCCCTGAGACAATAAGCAATCAGATACAGGTTGTACATGTGTAATCATGTACAACATTTCCATATTAGTCATTTTATCACTTTTTTTAAAAGAACTTCAGAGATAGTATAAGGAGAGGGAAAAGTAATTTTCAAGGAAAGTACAGAAAATTAGCATGATGTTCTTTTGGGAGGAAGTCCTGTGATCTGTGATTTAGTTTAAAATATAAAATCTGAAGAACAAATAAACATATGCTGCTTACCTTGAACACAAAAATAAGGAAGACATGGATCACTAGACTGACATCCTTTTCTATTCACCTCACATAATTCATTAGCAGAACAAGGATTTGGGTTACAGGGATGAGTAACATCTTCTACAATGCTGTCTAAGGAACTTGGCTCTGAAAAGTCAACAGCAAATAGGTTAAATGACTTGGAGGAATAATGGAAGCCTTATGAATTTTGAATACTATTTTAAATAAAAAATAATGTAATGAATATAAAGAGAGCTTGGCTTGACCTTTGGTTAACCAATCTAAAGTTTTGGCTCATTAGTGAATTTGATTTAAAAAGGGCTAATGTCCAAGAGGGAAGTCATTTTACCATGGGCCATATTCATTATGGTAAGTTAGATGATAGACCTTGTTTACACAGTAAATGCTAATGTGTCTTGCCTCTGCCTTGTGCCTGTAATTTAAAGCCCAACTCAAATGCTACTTTCCCAGAGAAGCTGATCCCCTCCTGGTGGCCCCCTCTTATCCCTCTCAGACTTCAAAAAGAACTTTGTTTTTGCACCTCTCTAGGGAGGTTTTTGTATACCATGTGCTAGCTATAGGTACTTAACAAATGTTTGCTGAATTGTACTCAATATGTTCAAGTGTCAACTAGGCTGCTAAAATATAAGATGTGCAGAACATTCATGTGAAATTCAAATAACTTACTATCTCCTAAATGTGTTTTTTTTTTTTTACCCTTTCACAGTATTTAGTCTCTAAATGGATAGGTAATCAGTTTAACAGTCTGCATGTATCTGGATACTACCCACCTTGTTTTACACTTGATTTTTCTTTTATGGTCATCTATAAGACATAATGCACTATCAAAATGCAAACAGTGTGTCATCTCCTCCAGACACCCTAGAGATATCCCCTCAGAAAGGGGAGCCAACAGCAGCTGGCCCTCATTCCATGTGCGCACAAGTTAAGCACCTTTATTTACTCCTTTCACTAATTCCATTTGTCTTGTTATGCTGAATCATGCTTCATCATATTGACTCAGAACCTAACTCCATAATCAATTCAATTCAACAGACGTTTATTCAACATCTACAAAATAATTTAATTTAAAATTTAATAGCATTTTAAATCCACATATATTTGTGTTCACTGACGGTGATTTCTAAAAAGTTCAGGTACAGGAAACAACTATTTTTATTTGTCTTTTTTATTACTATTTACCTTGATCACTTTTAGGAAAAGTAAAATTATAATAGGGTTTAGAGAGACAGTGTAGTGGACTGATTAGAGAGCCAGTCTTGCAGTCAGAAAGACCTGGGGTCCAAATTCTGCCTCTCTCACAGACTGGCAAGGCAATGTAAATTTCAGAGTAGGCTTAGCTCTTCATCGGCAAAGGGGCTTTTCCAATTGATCACAGGTCTGGCTCAAATAAAAATGTGCTAAGTTGTGATGCTAGGCACCGGGATACAAAGTCAAAAACAAGCATCACCTGCATCAAGAAGCTTATATTCTAGTAGGGATACAAAGAAGATATAGATGGAATACTATTGTGCTATAAAAAATGATGAACAGGCTGACTTCAGAAAAACCTGGAAAGACTTGTATGGTCTGATGACGAGTGAAATGAGCAGAACCAGGAGAACATTGTACATAATAACAGCCACATTGTTCGATGACTAATATAGACTTAACTCTTCCCAGCAATACAAGGATCTAAGACATCTCCAAAGGCCTCATGATGGAAAATGCTATCCACATCCAAAGAAAGAACTATGGGGTTTGAATGCAGATCAAAGCATACTATTTGCTATTTTTTTCTTCTGTGTTTTGTTTCCTCCTTCTGGTGGTTCCTCCCATTGGTTCTCATTCTTACCTACCACATCACTAATGTGAAAATATGTTTAATAGGAATATAAATGTATAGCCTGTATCAGATTGTGCATCATCTTGGGGAGGGTGTGGGGAGGGAGGGGGAGAAAAATTTAAAACTCAAAAGCATATGGAAGTGATTGTTGATAAATCAAAATAAATTAATTAATAAAAAAAATCATAAAAAAAAAGAAGGCAGCAGCTGAAGGAAGGGAAGGATTCTAGGAAGCAGAGGTGAGGGGGTGGTGCACTCCAGACACAAAGGCACCTTGTGACAATTCAGAGAGAGAGAGAAGACAGATAGTGTTCATGATGGGGAACCTGTGAAATAATGTAGAGCCAGAAGGCAGTTCTGGTGTTTGCATCTTATCCTAGAAGAAACAGATTTTGAGCAAGAGAGCAACATAGTCACTTGGCCAGGGTGGCAGGAGTAGGCAGAAACCCAGGCCTTCTAGGCTCTGAAACAGTGCAGACAAGTCATACTGCTCCTACCCCTCACAGATGTAAGGGTGGGGGTTAACTGAGGCAATCAAGCACTAAGCCCTCCCCACTTAAAGTAACCAACAAAACATTCTGCCTCCGGAATTTTTAATAGTTGAGCGTGTCTTTATTGAATCATTTAGTCAAAAGCATTAAACTAGTGTACACCTAGCCCCAAGAGGGGGACTCCAGAGCAACGCCCTTTCGGGGCTTGGCTAGAACTGCATCTGACATTTGACTGATGTTGGTTTCTGAACCAGCCACACTCAGAGGGTGCTCATTAGTTTAATACCTTTGACTGAATGATTCAATAAAGACACATTCAATGGTTAAAGATACCAGAGGCAGTGTTTTGTTGGTTATTTTAAGTGGGATGAGATGACTGATGACTCAATCAAATCAAAACTTCCATATATATAAAATATACATGTGTACCTTCTCTCATGAGATTGTCTCTGCCTCTCTGTCTTAATTTCAGCCTAGTAATTTTCCAGACAAATTACATTATGTACAAATATAGGTCCCTTGATTGCAATCTACTCAACAGAATTCCAAAATTCATATATAATAAATTCATTCTTCAGAACAGTATTCCTCAAAGAATTTAGGAACTCAAAGGAACACCATCCCTCCCCCCTATATTTAGTATATGTTCATTTTGAAAAATCAAAGGCTTTTCACAGCAGTTACTGCTGCTGCCAGCTCTAGTTACATTTTAAAAATAATGGTATTATAGATATAGAGGACAGTACGTTACAGATCAAAGGGCTGAGGGACTTGGGTAGTCAACAGGGGGCTGGCGAATACCATATGTGGAAATTTAAGATTTTAGTTGCTAGGATCATTCAAATTGGGGGAGAGGGGTTCAGAATAAGTTGTTTCCAGTTAAGAAACATTTATTAATACTGAAAATACTTAACTTTTTGGAAGAAATTTAGTTTTGACCTACTTAACATTGTTCTGATACTTGTGATACACACTCAGTTAAAAGGCAGTACTATAGATTTTCAACAGTTTATGTTATACAAACAGTTCTTGATTTACCTAACGAGACCTCTATGTAAAGTGATTTTTACATAATTTGCCTGCAGATGTGAGGAAGGGAGGGAGGAAGAAAAGGGGACTGCCTACCTATGAAGGCACATGGTTCAAGGACACGTGGGGGATGGGAAAAGAGAAGAGAGAGCTAGAGGAGGAACACAGGCGGCCTGGCTGGGACTGAGAGAAGGCAAAGGGGGGGGGAGTAGTACTGAGCACAGACAGACTGCAGACAGACAGACATATGGGGCGGACATGCAGGCAAAGCAGGACAAAGGTCTCCTCTCTAGGGGCTGGAGGTTTCAAGCCACGCCCTGACCTAGCAGTCATGGCAGTCTCTTGATGTGTCTATTCTCTTGTTTTCACTGAGAGTTTTTTTTTTAGTGTGTTTTTTGGAGGGTTGTGGGGATTGTTGCTGCTGACCAGACGGTGAGGAGTGGAAAGAAAGAGCACAGTACTGTGCAGTAAAAGTTAACAGGTGTTTTTTGGAATGTGGATTTCTTTCAGAATTCTTTACATAAAGTTGAATTTCCAAAGTGAATTTACACAAAGAGAGAGCTGTCTGTATATTTATCTGTGGCTATAAAACGAGAGACTTCTCCAAGTCAAGTGTTAGGATGATATTTTTACTTTTTTTTTCTCTTTATACCAACTTTATCTAAACTGAGTCATCTAAAGCCATGTAGTATTATATGACTACTTTGTGTAACAAACATGTTTCTGGAAAAAAAACCATATGTACAAATCTAATTTTAATGTACCAAATCACATTTTTAAATACATGGTGGGGGGTGGGGGGACTTATTATCCTTAGTAGCCTATTGTGAACTCTGTGGAGTAAATAATTCTTTTATGAAGGAAATAAAAACCTAGTTTATTCCTTTTAGTTCATCAAACACATTAGTTCACATCTAAGGCACTGTGCTACGTACTGGAGACTTACAGATGATAAAATAACATAGTTCCTGAAATATAACATGTATACAAGTATGATCTGAGGTAAAATGCCATTAGGACAAAGGAGAAATGTAGCAAAAGTGTCATAAGAAAATATGATGAACAGAACACTCACAACTGAGAAAATCAGGGAAGATTTCATAGAAGAGATGACACCTGAACTGAGCTGTGAAGGAAGAGGGGTTTTGGCAGGCAAAAATGAACAGAGCCCGTCCTGGTCATGGGAATAAAGCTGGGAATGCGTAGGCCAAGATAGGTCAACAGCCAACTAATCCAGTTTGTCTGTAATGGCAAATGCATGAAGGGGAAGAGTGTAAAGGAAGACTGATTTTAAAAGTTTTCATTTTTTAAAAGTATGATTGAATTACATTAGGGATCCAAAATATTTTTCTAGCATAACAAATCTTCAATTTAATAATGAAGGATATTGAGACAATAGGAGTCACTAATAGAAATCTATTTAATGGCCAAGATTCCTTGCCTAGAGAAGATATAAATTCTACTAGTCAGAGGATACTTATCTTTATCCTAATCTACCAAGATTCAGAGTCAAGAAATTTAATGCTAAAAGAGAAATACGAATAATAAATGGCCAGTTCTTTCTGATTACATTAATAGTAATGGCATGTCTAAAATACTTTCTTAGTACATCAAACTAGAATTTATAATTAGGGGGTTTTTTTTGCCAAAATTATTTTGTGTTACATAAAGGAGGCTTGTTAAAAATAAATACCACCAGAAATAAATAAATAAAGCATATTTGAACTCTCATACAGAAATGTTACTTACTAAGATATGTATCTAAAGGTATACAGTTCTCCAAATCATCTGTAGGGGACAGAAGCTCACAAATGCTTTCAGCTGTGTGGTCTTCAGGAAACTTATTTTGATCTCCACATTTCTTAAGAATCTCTATACAATCAGATCTGAAGAGAAAAACATTACACACAAAATCATAGCATTCATATCAACCTCAAGATGTATCTCTTAGGGTGCAGCTCCACAAAGGTGAATGCCTAAAAGGACTGACTGCCTAAACTATCCAACACATATCACCATCAAATGGTACCACTGTCATCCATAGTTTGGAGAAGTTTATTACAAAGAAGGTGCCTCTGCAAGGTGTATTTTTCACATACAGCAACTCATAAAAATCATCTATTAAGGCCCAGAAGAGCTGTGATCTATGTCAGGGAAGGAATTTCTAGAGTGATGAAATCATGGATCCTCAAAAGTGCTTTAGCAGAAGGTAAGTTCTCACTATAGTAATTATCATTTAAATAATTAACACTATGATCCCAAACTGTAATGTTAAGATCATTTAAAAAGACTTACTTGCAAATAATGCTTCCCCTGGATTTGCTATGACAAGGTTTAATCTGCAGGGAGCAAGCAATTGCTTTCCACATTTCAGGTTGACATTTTTTAATGTCCAGAACAGGTATGTTTATAAATGGCATTTTTATGCTTCCTTTTTCCCATAGCTTCATGTCGTTCATGGCTCCTTGGTCCGACTGAGCATTACAGCTCCTGAAAAGCTCTGTTGGCCTGAAAAGCAAAAGTCACATTGGTGACAATGGTGTTCCTTCCAGCCAAAGGCTGTGGCAAATTACAGCAATACCAGTGCATGTATACAATGCAACACTGAAAAATGAATTTAAGTCAGTGGAAAATCATATGAAACTCCCAAAAGAAGAATCAAATAAAATTATATGAGACCACAACTTCAACTTAATAAAATGTAGTGACCTAATTTTTCAAAAGATTGCCATAATAATTTCTAGGACTTTACATTTCAACAAATAACTTGACATACTCAACAATATTTTAAAAAGTCTTTTCGGGCAGCTAGGTGGCACAGTGGATAGAGCACTGGCCCTGAAGTCAGGAGGACCTGAGTTCAAATCCAGCCTCAGACCAAACACCTGAAACTTACTAGCTGTGTGCCCCTGGGCAAGTCACTTAATCCCAATTGCCTAAAAAAAAAAAAAGTCTTTTCAACACATCTACAAATTTGTTTTCCTATTTTTCAGCTAGACTTTTATTTCCTAATATTTTAATACTATCTGTAAAAACATCACAATACACTTTCTCAAAGTAATTTGAAGAGCACAAGCTGTGTCATCCTGAAGTGAATAAGCTCTGAAAAATGTACTGATTCACTGATTGAAAAAATACATGACAAAAAATTCCTATGAACTCAATATCATTTTAAAATGAATTTGTAACATCATTAGTCACAATTATATACAGATGAAAATAGTAATGCATAAGACAATATTTATTCTATCTAAAAAGGTATGATTGCTTATTTATAGATTTACATATGAATTCACAGATGCTTTACAATAATTCCATAGTTTATAGCTTGGGAACAAATGGCTATGTCATTACATTTAAATTCTCAGTGTACTTTAGTATGCTTCTGTAAGTAAGGTGAATTTTAGTGCATGTAAGGAGGATTTTGTTATTCCTTTTTAGATGATAGCTCCAGGATCCTAGGTAATATTTCCCAAGAATGATGGTTGAAAACATCTCCATCATGCTTGTATGGTGAGATATAAGGATGACATAATGTATGCCTGTGCTGTGTAGGTCATGATGACAGTGCTAAAGTTAACCTGTGAGCTTAATGTTGGCCAGATGCTCTCTTTGTTGCCCTATAAAGCAAATGGGGACTGGTCAGTAAGGGTGGGGGGGAATGGGAATCCATTTTGGGGATTTGGGTAACGTGTAGAAGAATGCATGTACCTGCCTTGATTGTCCCCCATCAAGGCTTGGGGGGAATCTGCATGCTTGTTTCAACTGGCCCCCAATGAGGCTTAGGGGATCTTGAAGGACTTGTACTCCTATTCTTGCCTGCCCCGGTGAGAAGTGTGATTATGGAATGCTGTAGGAGTTGGTGCTCCCACTATCAGCAACCCTTTTGAGAAGAGTAGACTAGAAAAAGTAAGCTTATTTGATCCCTCCAAAGCTGTCTTCCTGTCTGGCTGGATCAAAAGTGAACCTGTGCTACAACACCTGTTAGTGTTAGGAGCCCTCCTGGGTTCTCCTGACCAACAAATGGTGTTACCTGTGAAACAACTTCAAAGAACTTTAATATTCTCATGATGCATTTTCTGACTACTACATTTCCTAATTGAAAGCTGACTTGCCATTTTGAACCATTTACCATTTCAGTCTTAAAAGGAAATGAAGGAGTATTTTCTTATAACCAAATAAAAATTCAGTCAGGTTAAGGGTTTGTTTTTTCTTACTCATTCTACCAACAAAATAAATTTGCAATAAAAGTATATTTTCACTTACAACATGAGAATTCCTTACAAAACTACATAATTTTTCTTTCCTACCTGTTGTTAAAATTAGTGCAGTAAGAAAGGTTTCTACAGCCCAACTGACAAGGCTCTCGAACATCTGCTAAACAGGTCAGCATGGAAACTTCTACTGGATTATATTCACAAAATCGATCAAACTCTTGCCAGCTCTGTGTATTGCCCCAGCTCATGCTATAAAGCTTAGTGCATAGTTCCCTGAAACAAATTTACATTTGGCTAATTAGAAGAGTTAGATAAACATTTGAAATACAATGTGTTGTAACAGTTTCATAAAGACCATTTCAAAAAGCCTGTCACATATCAGAAAATGTAGAAATAGACACGAGGGATAATGGTATAATGGGTAGAGAGGTAGCTGGTCTTAGAGTCAAGAAGAGCTAGATTCCAGTCCTGCTTCTGACACATACTGGCTGTGTAACCCTCGGTGAACTGCTTAACCAGTCAGTGCCCAAGCAGCTCTAAGAACCTAAACTGCAGAAAAGGTCCCAATTATATTAGTACAGGATAGGGGTGGGGTGAGGCCACAGGTTTCCCACCCCTAATATAAAGATACTGCTTCCCTGGAACTTCCTACACTAATGAAATCTCAGGTCCAGGTAGGAATAAATACCTGACTTACCTAAAACCAAAACCCTAGAAGGAAGCCTTTGTAAAATGTAGAGGAAGAAAATACCATCAGAACAATAGTTTTAATTATAACTGAGAGAAGCCATAGTGAGGCTCTCAGGCCTCTTCCCACAATGGTTGTCCTGCTACGAGTATGGCTGACCAATAAACCTGGTGATCAGAAAACAGGCTTCCCATAAACTCTCAGAGTTTGCTTTCATGTGCAGGTCATGACACAGCAGCATTCCAGGTGACACCCAGCCCCTTGGGAAACTGAGCTGATGGCTCTATCAGTTTCTGGTTCCAGGTACCAGATTAATTCTGTTTGACTTGGGTTGGGGGGGAGCACCACTAATTCAATAGGACAGCGAGGAGAATCTCAGTTCAAGCCCTGCCTCTCAGGCCCACACTGGGACTTCTCCATATCAATGTCATCACAGGTCTAGTTCCTATCCCAATTCAAGCCAAAAAATCCAGGAGAAGAGCGGGAGTATTTTCTTCACATCTCTAGCTTCAGAAGACATATTCTGATGTTTTAGAGTGAGAAAAGAAGCAATCTGGATGATTATTGAACACATCAGTTTTTATCACCTTTTGCACCCAAAAGACTTTACATTTAAACATAACTGTGTGCTAAGTTCTTTGCATAAATGATAAAATGCAATGTTATTTAAATTTGAGGTTCTCCAAAAAAGTCAAGATCTACTTGCATCTCACTGAATAAGTGACTTTGCACTTAAAGATATATAACAACTGAGGATCCCAAGATGGCCTACAAGTGATAGCTTTTGTACAATGAAGACCTAACTTTGCATTTTCAACACATGCTCAGTGATTAACAAACAACAAAGTCTAGGAAGTATCCAGAGTTGCACTTAAATTGCATCGTACAATGGATAAACTGGGTCCAAAATTAAATGGAAGGAGAGGAACAGGCTGGATTGCCTTCAAGGAAATTATAAAGCTCCTTTAATGACTCCAAACTTCTCCCCCAAACAAAGGCCCATATGTTAATATGTCACATAGCTATGATATATGGAAACACCAGTCTCTGATGAATTGAAAATGAGTACACAAAGGGCAATGGATCTACACAAGATGGGTATAAGCAGAAACAATATATCACAAATAAGGGACTTCAAATATGAACAAGAGTAAAGGATGACATCAGCAAAATGTGTCACCTAAAAAGAAGGCAGGCTGGTTATATAGACAGGGTGAAGAGATAGCCTGAATGCTGCACTGCTCCTCTTGTGATGTTAGGCGGTGAGGAAGACCTTATACATATTGTGTAGCAAATTTATGAGAGGACTGGGACTAGTGCCTCACATGATCATGAAAATCAATATTATAGATCTATTTTGGTATCTGAAAACACGTCACTGTTCTGATGGAGAAAGGCTGAGGTACTTTAAAGATATTTTCTAATTTCAGAATCTAGTTATGGAACCTAAGGCAAAAGCAAGTGTTGTTTTTAGTCTCTGAGGTTTTGTTGCTCAATAGATAGTCTCCTATAATAATGAAGTTAGGAGTAGAGAGAGAATGCAAAAGCTGAATATCCTAATGGCATCATATATTGTGAAAGAAAAATGGAGGAAGAGGCTGAATGGCTGATACTCATAGAACCTTGGGAAGCTGTTTGGTCTATCCCCGAGTTCCAAATTATCATTAACTTTTTGCTATGAAGAAATCTTCGTTCCAGTCTTTCACAAATGTAATGGTAATATATTCAGGGTCATACTTTTAAAATTTGTTGCTCTTATTCAGGTACAAGACCACTAAGTATTCTGATTTTTTTCTAGTCTTTGCCCCAAAGTCTTTACAATGTTAAAACTGCAGGATCTTAAATATTTATTTAAAGTTTTAGATGTTTAAAGCCATTTATTATTGTGTTGCTTTCCAGTAGCTTTAATAAAGAAAAAGAGATACTGACCTACATGTGGAAGTATTTGCTTTAGAACAGCAATGTAATTTGGCTCCATCGAGGCCTGTTGAAGGAGGTGGATATACAGTGACGCCAGGGTGAACAGACCTTGAGCTTTCAAGAAAACACTGCCAGAGTGGATCCTGTGGCAGAGGCATTGTTTTACAACCTTCTATGAGTCCATCAACTATTTCAAGTTCTGTCTTCATTGACATAAGAATTCTCTTGCAAGCATTTTGGCAGGCATAGTCTTCAGCTCTGTCACAGCAATATAAACCTAAATTGATGGAATATGAAGGCTCAATTAACTCTTTTACAACACCAATTATACTAGGGATTGGGGAAGAAACAGCTCCTGCCCTAAAGATTATAATTTAATGTGGTTAATAAGCCACAAAGAGCTTTACTTTAGACTGCAAGTACACAAAAGAAGTTTAGAGTGTTGAGTTTAGACTAGAGATCATTACCATCAGAAGAGGAGGAATCAGAGAAGGCTTTCTGGAAGAGCTGTCACATGAGCTATTCTTTGAAGGCTATAGGTAGGGATTCTAAGCAGTAGAGGTAAAGAGAAGGGTATTCCAGGCATAGGTCATGCAAAAGCATAGGACTTGTCCCTAAAATGGAAACAAGTTTAGTCTGGCTAAAGTGTAAGGTAAGGGAGAGTAGTGGGAGACAGTCTTGGAAAGGGAGATTAGACCACACTGTGCAGTGCCTTCCATCTCAATTAAGCAGTCTAGAATTTATCTTTAAGGAAAGGGTAAACTACTGGAAATTTCTGGGAAAGAGTGGGATGGGGCAGGGGTATGTGTGAGACACTCTAAAAGATATACATTAGGCAGAATACAATAAAAGAAGTGTATAGTCTGAAAACCAGCAATTGGATGAGTTTTCACATCTATTTTTCCTAGGGAATTCCAGATTTATAAATAATTTTTGAAAATCATTAAGTCTATCAACATCTTAGTTAGCTCTTTAAATCTGTTTTGACCCCAGTCATGTTTATCAAGGCCAACCCTATGCCCCACCCAGTCCCTATATCCTTAAGCTAGGAGAATACATATGAAATAAAAATACTTAGAATTCCTTCACAGATTCCCAAGAAAACTAGAAAAAAAATTAAAGAAAGTCTGAAGACATTTCATTACTCCTCATATCTATTGCCTTGTTTTCATCTGACATTTGATTTAGAACCTGGGCATGTGGGCTAGCATTTATTTTTGTGAATATAAGACCTAATTTACCAATCTGAGTATCTGGTATGTCCTCTATTTCTTTTGTTTCTGTCTGTGATGACTTCACTCTGTCTAACTATTTCTATTAGAGAGCAGGCAAAGAAAGAAGAAGAAAAACTTGGTACTGTGTTGCTGCTTTCTGCCATCTCTTATAAAAAAAATCATGTAGGGAAGATTAACTAATAGGTAAACCATCAGACGTTCCAACAAGAGAGGAGGTGGCATGGTGTAGGAAAGAAGGATCATTAAGATTTAAAACTGGAGGGATCTTGGGCATCAGTTTTACAGTATAAAGAAAATGAGAATGAGAGAAATGAAGGGACTTTGTTAGAGTAACACAGAAAGCAACAGAGCTAAGTTGGGTACCAGAGTTTCTAGAATATTCCCATTACCATTCTGCAATTTGACCAACAGCAAGTCCCTTAATCTTGCTGAACCTCAGTTTTCTCACATATAAAATGGGAAAAATGATACTTGTATTATGCACATCACAGGGCTGAAGGAAAGGGATTGGTAAACTGTAAAGTACTGTGATTGTTCTAAGTGGATGCAATACTATTATTAGCAACAACAACAAAAAAGCTGTCTTTATCTGTGACTATGTTCTATTTCCCTCCTCTCTCTGAGCCAGAAAGCTCCTGAGGGCATAGGATATCTTTCTTTATATTACTGTCGAAAATATTTCTTGTAGTATACGGTACCAAGTAGATATTCAGTAAATGCTTTTCTATTATAATGTATGTTCATAACCTGTTTCTTTGGGGAGTGTGCTGGGGCAAGAGGGAGGGTTTCTGAACCTAAGATTTCATCAATTTTGAGAACTCCAGGGTGGAAATTTAGTCCACTGAGGAAGACTGCAACCCATCTGTGCTGATGTACCTAACTAGTATAGACTTCAGAATTCTTTTAGAATGCTATTTCATTTCTCTACAAAGATTTCATACATCATGACACCAGAAACAGCATTCTTATTTTACTTACTATCTGTTGGATTCCTCATCGGATAAGACTGGGTGTAGTTGTTCACACAGTGTATTAACTGTGGGCTAATAGATGCACAATAACTTTCAACTGCTTTGATCTGAGATGGACCAGGAGAAGAGTCTGTTCGAAAAATGGCTTGACAGTATTCTCGGCAGTTTGTGTGATGACCAGCATAACTACAACAAACTGAGCCCACTGGGAGGGAGGAAAAAGGTAAGAAGTTCAAATGGATATGCATTCATTAGTAATAAAGACATCATAACAATGAGGATATAAGACAATGAAATTGCTGCCTTTCTGTGTTTAAAACAAAATGTAAAGGTAGCTACAGAAAAATCTTATATATGAAGTAAACACCTGAAAGCAAAACTGTTAGGTAGCTATAACCAGTAGGTACAATAGATGTTTATGAATAGTAAGATTAGAAAATTAGATAATGGTAATTCTTGAAGCCCAATAAGAAAAAAAAGTTCCTAATGGAGCTATTAGGTACTTTTGCATGGTTCCTAACTGAAGCATGTCATTAGAACTCTATAGAAGGGGAAGAAGTTTCAGTCTTGCTTTAAGTGTTAACAGTCACTGAGATCCAAGTGAATAGATACAGGTCGAGGTAAAAATAGACAGGAAATAGAAAAATGTCTCCATGTATTAAATCAGGAAAATACTAGGCCTGGGGACTTGGGAAGAACCAAAAGACAAAGTAGGAGTTGAAGAGGTAGGGAAGAGATGCAGAAGAGGGGAGTCACAAGGGATAGATACAGGGGGGATCTCCAGACAGATGAAGCTAAGAGAGATTTTTTTTATTATTGGGCATCAGTGAAGCAAGGATATAATAATGGAAAAGGTGTTAAAGTTCAAATAATTAGCAAGGGTATAATGCGGATAATAAAGAGACGTTAGGGTGTTGGGGGTGAGTCTTAGAATAGACGCAACATTAATGTTTGTTATATTCAAAAAGTAAGCTACTTGCTAGATGAATGAAATGAAATAGATTATGGGAGAATGGTGAGGCTCAGCAGGAAAGCCAAGAAACAATGTAAGGTATTTCACTGTCTGAAAATGTCTTATTCTGCACCTCTAGTCCATCACCTCTCTGCCAAGAGGGAGGAAACGTACCTCAGCATCAGTATTCTTTAGTCATGACTGGTCACTGCATTAGTCACATTTCTTAAATCTTCCAAAGATGTTTTGCTTATTCTTATCTAATTGATTCCCTATCTCACTCTCCACAAAAGCATTTCCAAACTTTCTCTTCTTTCATCAAGCCTCTCACACCTCCCTTGCTCTCTTTCAGCTGAGGACTACGCCTCTTCACTCAGAAAATAAAGGCCATTCAACAGGAGCTCTCTCTTCTCCCCTTCTCTTTATCTCAAACCCCCCCTGACATCATCTCCCATGTCTGCCATTGTCCTCCTTTTCCCCAGTTTCTAACAACAAGAAGGCCCCTCCTGCCAAGGTCACTCCTTCTAGATGTGAACTTGATCCCATTCCCATTTTGGCTTCTCCAACAGAGTGCAGCCTCAGTCATTGCCCCTCTTCATCTCTCCCTATCGACTGGTTCCTTCCCATCTGCCTTCAAAAATGCCCAGGTTTCCCCCATTCTTTTTTTTTTTGGTTTTGTTTTGTTTTTGGCTAGGCAATGGGTTTAAGTCACTTGCCCAGGGTCACACAGCTAGTAAGTGTTCTGTGTCTGAATCCAGATTTGAACTCAGGTCCTCCTGAATCTAGGGCTGGTGCTCTTTCCACTGCACCACCTAGCTGCCCCCAGGTTTCCCCCATTCTTCAAAAAGCTTCACTGGATCCTACCATCTCTTCAAGCTCTCACCCCATATTTCTTTTTTCTTTCTCAGCCAAATTTCTAGAAAGGAAAACACTTTATACTCAGTGACTCTGCTTCCTCTCCTTCCATCCACTCAAAAATCCTTTCCAATCTCATCACTCAACAGAAACTGCTCTTTCAACAGTTGCCAAAGATCTTATAATTGTCAAATTGAATCATCTTTTCTCAGTCCTCATCTTTTTTTGACCTATCTGATGCATTGAAACTGGGACCACCTTCTCCTTAACACTTTCTCCTGTATGGGCTCTTATGGCACTACAGTTTTGATTCCTACCTGATGATTACTCCTCAATTTCTTTTGCTGGATCGTCATCCACATCACACCCAACTCTAGGTGTTCCTCAAGGCTGTCCTGGGTCCCCTACTCTTCTCTCTCTACATTCTTGGTGACCTTACCAGCTCTCCTAGATCTGATAATCATCTATACATTGATGGCTCCTAGATCTATATACATCCCCCCATATATAGGTCTCTTCTCTGAGTTTCGATCCCACATCACCAATTACCTATTGGATATTACAAACTGGATGTGCCAGAGACATCTCAGACTCAATATGTCTAAAACAGAACTCATTCTCTTTTACTCCCTTATTCTTCCTTTCTCCTGAGAGAAGGTGAAAAACCTATTCAATAACACCTCATTTATCTGGGATCCTTGAACAAAGAATGAAGTATTCCACACAGGTGAATTTTCCAGATAACTAAAGCTTACTGTTTTATACACCGAAGCACTTAAAAAAAAAAGCAATGAAACTACTCTGAAGTTTTTCTAAAATACATCATACACATCTCTGCCTCTTGGTGTTCAGTGCTGTGTAATTCAATACTGACCCACAGGTCTGCTTTTTATAAAATTTTCTTTTTCCTCTCTTGGTAGTAGTTACTAGCTATACTTTTTCACTACTGTTATTGTGACAACATTTTTCTCTATTTTTAATTGACTATTTGTAATCTGCATGAAATGGGAAACTAGATAACTAGGCTTGTCAGACTTGTGTCTAAAATAAAATACTGAATGTTAGCTACATCCTGGAAAGCTAAGGTTGTAGCCTCAGTGATCTATGGATAAGTGAAGTACACAAATTTTTAACTTATGCTTCTTTTCTTGGTAGAATATTAAATTGCAGCACCATAGTAGTCTGTATTCACTATCCTTCAGAAAAAGCAAGGGTGAGATGAGCCTCTAAAAGAACATTAGAGAGGTATCTAGCAGTGGTCCTCAAACTTTGTGGTCTTAGGAACCCTTTATACTCTATAAAATTGAGGATTCCTTCCAAAAGAGCTTTTGTTTCCATGCGTTCTATCTTATCAATATTTACTGTATTAGAAATTAAAATGTCTTAGTATTATTGTGAAAAAAAATTTTGACTTTGCCGACCCCCTGAAAAGGTCTCAGGGACCTTCGCGGGGGAGGGTGCTGGACCACACTTTCAGAACCACTGGTCCAGAGGAGCGCTCACTACCACAGCCTCCATTCCTTCAGTGTGCAACCAGTAATGCTATGTTAGTGGCAAGGGTAGGAGATAAGTCACTGGAAAGCAAGAAAAAACAATCTAGAGAACAAATAAAAGGAATAAGGGAAAAACATCTCTTTAAAAAATTCACCTTTAGAGTACTATGGTGGAAATGACTACCTGAGAACACCAAGTACTATGGGAAGCATTCTTCAAGAGAAGGAAGATAGTTCAACTCTTGAGAATGACCATATTTATTCATTCATTACCTCTAAATTGTCTTTTTCTAACACTTGTAAGTTCCCTATTTCATAGGTCTACTTTTAGGACAAAGGAGATATTATAAATGTCATTGCTCTGAGTTCCCCAGAGAAAAGATGGCTTAATAAGCCAAGACATTTTAATTCCGATCATGGGAATAATCCTATTATTGCACATTCATTTTGATCTTCACTCTTAACAACAGCATTAAGGCTTCTCACAATACAAATAACACTTAACTTGTGTTCTCTGAACTGCTTGTTTTAAGAGTTTTTTGTTGTATAACTTTAAATAAAATACTTACTTTCATTTTGGCTAATGCAACTGAAAAGGGCATTCTGTAAATAAAAACAAATCCCAGTAATTAATAATAGTATTTACGGTCTCATAACTTTACACATTAATATCATACTAATTTATTCTATTCCACAGATGATATGAACATAATAAAATATTTAGCTACGTCTTAGATCCAAAATTTTATATATTAAAAACATTTAACCAATGAAGATGAATAATAAGAATTTTAAACGCTGGTATAGGACAGAGCTATTACTGACCTTATAGGCTAATTGTGTTCTATCAGATTTTTACTATATGTAGTTATTTTCAGCAGTTTGATTTAAACCATATTCTTTTCAAAACCATGTACAGAGATAGGTATCATAATGGGATTAGGAAAAAAAGTTGTAGCAATAGAAGGGAGCTTAGAGATTATCTTCATGAAATTCTCATTTTGCACAAGAGGAAGCTGAAGTGATTTTATTACAACATAATGGAAACTACATATAGGCTAATTAAAGGGACAATTACACCCAAGTACTCATGCATAATCTTATAAATTATAGAAATCTATATAAAATATTATAAAGAAGATAACTGAACACAAATAATCTAGACACTTATAGAAACATGTATTTTAGAGCTGGAAGAAACCTGAGAAATCTGATGTAGTCTAGCATTTTTTTCAGATGAAGAAACAGAGATCTAGACTGGCAAAATGATTTGTCCAGGATCTAGCACATAGTAGGCACTTAATGAATACTTGATTAATTGCCCAAAGTTATATAGACTGTTACTGGCAAAGTTGTCACCAAGACCCACCTTTCCTCTTAGTCCTCTGCACTTTTTGAGATAGAATGCTGTATAAAGTTAAAGAATGCAAATGAGCTGTCAGTGAAATGTAAAGAGGAGAAAAGCAACAACAGAGATACATGAGCAAAACCAAGGCCAAGATCCACAAAAACAGGTTGATGGCAATGGTTTATTAGCTGAACTTCAAAAGGAAATGGGCCTTGGTGTAAGAGCAAAGATAAGACAAATGATGTACATTTTAAAGGCAGAAAGCAGATGGAAATTAGAAAGGTTTTTGTGGTTGAAGGACGAAAATGAAGGCAAGAGGACTTTGACTTTGGACTACAGTGAAATCATAAATATGATGTGTGACAGATTTATTTGAAAGAAAAGACTTAGGAAGACTTTAAACATAGCCTTGCAGTAAAGCCGAACAAATTTACTTAGGGCAAAGGGTTTCTCAGAGATCTCTCCTCCAAGTAATACATGGTGGAAGGAAAAACGTTTAAAGCTGTTCATTCTCTCCAACAATGCTGATCTTTATTAATAATCCAGCTGGTCTGAATATAGTGCTTTTTACTTTTAAAAATATTTTTTACTTATTTCCTGATCTAACTTGGCTTTTCATTCTCTCATCAGCTGGCACTGATTCTGCTTATCTGATTTCTGTCAGCTTTTCATGAGAGATAAAACTATTAAAACCTTTGACTCTTCACAATCATCTGTTACCAGATTTTTTCCTTATAAAGGCATGAGGTGACATTTTCTTTGGCCTTTGTCTTTTGCCTCTGTAAACAGTGGAATAAAGTTCTGCTGATGGTTTTATATTTTTTCCAAGCTACATAGTCTTTATTATTTCTCATCTTTTATGTTCAAAACTGCTATTTCTTTGTTTCTCTCCAAAGCGACAAATCCTTTTTACTGTTCATATCATTACCATTTGCCATTCAAATCCCTCTACTGTCCTATACTTTGGTGTTTTTTCTTTTTTGCTTTTTTTTGGTGAGGCAATCAGGATTAAGTGACCTGCCCAAGGTCACACAGCTAGTAAGTGTTAAGTATCTGAGGCTGGATTTGAACTCAGGTCCTTCTGACTCCAAGGCCAGGGCTCTATTCATTGTGCCACCTAGCTGCCCCTTACAGTCCTATACTTTGTTAATCTTATCCTTAAGATGATAAGAAATAATAGCTGACATGTTTATATAGTGTTTAAGGCTTACATAACACTTTCCATACACTACATCAATTGATCTTTACAACACATCTGAAGTAGTCATTACGAGAATTATTACTGTCATTTTAAGGATAAGGGAGCTGGGGCTGAGAGGTTCACACTATTTAGTGCTAGAAAGGACCCTGAAAGTCATTTAATCCAGCTCCCTTATTCCAGCAGTTAAGTAGCAGAGCTGGGATTCAAATTTAGATAAGTCCTCTGACTACAAAGCCACTGCTTGTACCACTGTGATACCATCATGTTCCCTAGAAAGGTATGGCAACCTCTCCATCAGGAAATGGACTCTGGACAAAGGTGAAATGGTCAAGCAGCTAATAAATGTATGAGGTGGGATGTGAATGTAGGCATTTCCTTAAAAGTATAAAAGTATAAGGCCTCTTAGACCACATTAGTCCAGATTCAAGGTTCATACAGTCTGCTGCTCTTTTTTCTTTTTTTAAAAAAAAAAAGCCAACAGACAATTTAAGGAAGGACATGACTTTTTTCCTTGATGCCAACCTAAAAGACCAGGGATATCCTGCCCCTCCCTCTTGTTTTCAAACCCAAAATCTCCTTTAATGATTTCTATCATGAAGCTTGCCATGCATAAATTCATTTAAATTTATTTTGAACCTATTTATATTTTCAAACCATGGCACCTCTTAGACCAAAGAATGCAACAGCTTTGCATCCACTACATAAAGTTGAACTTCTTTTACTTGTTCTAAATTTACGTCTTTGAAGAATAATGGGGTGCCTAGTTTTACTATACCGAACTTGTTAATCTCTGACCATTGTTTCTCTCCAGATCCTTCATGACTTTACAGAGTTTGATCATATTCCTATCTTTCTAGACAGAAGAATCCTGATCTTATAGCCAGTTCCCACTCTTACTATTCCCTGCTTGACATTTTACCAGTCTAATCATTTGAAAACACCTACCCATTTTTTTATCAGTGTTAATTTGATGCCCTGGTTTCTACCAACTCTAGTTCCTTCCAACTCTAAAATCAGATGGGTTCTTTAAAAATAGTTTAATATTAGAATCAGCTTTCTGCCTTACCCACAGGAAGAGCTGGGAACTAGTGAAGCACTCTAGTTTCCTTCATTTCTATCACAAGGAAAGAGCTATCTTTTAGCATTTCATCCCCATTCCCACCCAGAACCCTATATTATTTAACTACACGGGATGAATCAGGCAACTCCAAGGTTTCCATTTGGCCCTACCCATAGTAACAAGCATAAAAGTTATTATCCATATAAGGTCAGACTCTTTAAAACTCATAATATCCATTCTCATAATATGCTCACCCTGATTAGCCACTACAACTGTGACCCGGACAGGATGGGGAGGAACTTCCACTGGAAAAAGGATATTCCTTTCTTCCATGCTCTGCTTCCCAAAATACCCAATAGACACTGAGGTACCCTGTAGGCCTGTTGAGGATCTTCTAGTATAACAGGAGCTAGGCCTCCAATATCTAAGGACCCTTTATCTTTATATATTTTGCAATCCTTTCCCCTTTCTAAGCTATTCACTCAGGCATATGTCTGTCTCATAGTTAGAATAATCAGTCTTGGGGAGAACCTTGGTCTGTGCCCTAGGGGAACTCATTGCAAGAGTCCCTCAAGCCTGGATACAAAGATTTGGGTAGCTTGGAATGATCAAATGGGATGGGAGTTCTGACCCTGCTCAATAAACTCCAGTGGCTTCCTATTACCTTCAAGATTAAGCATAAACTGGTGCAATGGACAGAGCACCAGCCCTGGAGTCAGGAGGACCTGAGTTCAAATCCGGCTTCAGACACTCAGATGCTTACTAGCTGTGTGACCCTGGGCAAGTCACTTAACCCCATTGCCTAGCTCCCCCCCCAAAAAAAAATATTAAGCATAAACTGTTCTGTTTGGCATTTAAAGCTCTTCAAAGCCTGGCCCCTTCCTACCTTTATAGTCCTCAAACTCCCTTCCATGTTCTATGCACTGGCCTTCTTCATGTTCCTTGTATACAATACTCTATTTCCCATTTCCTTGCCTTTGCCCTATCCGTCCCACTATGCCTGGGATGTTCTCTCCTCAACACTCAGTGTCCCTTTCTTCCTTTAAGACTCAGTTTAAATTGTACCTTTTATAGGAGGTTTTTTCTGTTCTCCACACTCGTCTCCTCACCTAGCTGCTAGTGCCTTCTCCTCTGTGATCACCTTCCATCTAATCTGTGTTCATCTTGTATGACCTAGTAATTTATATGTTGTCTCCCCATTAGAATGCGAATGCCTTGGGTCAAGGTGTAACTTTGCTTTTCTTTGTAATCCTCATGCTTAGCACAGTGCTTGGAACATAAGTGCTGAATGCACAACTCACTAGACTAAGTTTGGGTGAAGCAGAAGGACCTTTGCTGCTCCGATCCTAGAATTCCCAACAAGGTTTAAACTCCCATAGGCTGATAATTATCTTTTTATCAATCTCTTGGTTCAGGAGTCACATCCAAAGTTTATTAAAGGAGAGAGTGTTGTCACCCTCTGCCCTCTATTTACGTGCTCTGCTACAGTGCCCAAACTGTACCTGCCAATCTCCAGCTGAAATTTTGCTCACTGGTGGTACAAGCCTGCTCAATGGTGTGGCAGGGGAGGCCCAAACTAAAGCTTGATATCATTCAAGTGGGGATTCGCTCAAAAGATGGGATTTAACTGCTATTGAACTGTTATGCTGATCAAAAGGTGTACGAAGTCATGGTGCAACAACAGAGATGAAGTCCACCAAACATTTCTTTTAGGAATTTTACCCCCTCCCTTGCTTTTTCCCACTGGAAAACCAGCTACAAAGGGAGCTCATCTTAATGGGGCCCAGAATGCTGAATTCCCAATCTTAGCTGCCTAAAACAGGACAAAGGACAATCCTCATCTGACTATGATTCATCTGACTTTACGAAACTAAATTTTCTGAAAGCTCCCCTTTTGTAAGCAGATGGAATCAGGCAGCTAAGAGTTCTACATTGGCCCCATTGGATCACTTTCCTATCATTTGTTGCTCTAATGACTCAATGTTGTTTTAATT